CCCCCCCGATGAAGTTCCTGGATTTTAACATAAAATTCTCTCTCTCTCTCTCTCTCTCTCTCTCTCTCTCAAACTCGCACAAGCTCCAGTTGGATAGCCATCCTCCATTAGCTCACTAATTTAAATGATGCAATGTTGCACCTATATTTAGCTTTCACCCAGAAGAAAGTATTCTGTTGAGCTTTAATTTGTAATGTTGTGACTCAGTTATCCAGAAAAGGCATATCACTTATTTTCATCTATTTTGCCTTTTTTTTTCTTTTAAAACAACATAGCTTCCAATCTTTGAATGTTTGTATGACTTTATTTAGTTTACAGCATTTTTCAATCAACTTTGGGATTCCTGAAGCTCATCAATCTCTCTCAAACATTCTCTCTCTTTCTCCCTTACACACACAGACACCAAATCCTCACTGAGCTTGTGTTAGCATACTGTAGTGTTCTGGCTATAAATAGACTTCACCCCACCAGCCCAGGTCAAGTGGTCTCTAAATAGATTTCACTCCTGATCAAGTGTTATGTGGAGCCATGCACAAATGCCCATATTACCACCAAACCTACAAATAAACAATCACACAGCAAAAATTATTTAGCTTTAACTCTAAAGCACAGAAAACAAGCATTGTTTATAAGATGGAGACTGTATCAGGCTTCATAAACAATAATTGCCTTTTTTTTTTTTTGCTATTCGGGCTGACAGAATGATCAATTTGCGGGCTGACAGAATGTCAATTTGCTTTAGTGTTTGGCATGTGGACTTAATTTTAGTCATATCAGTGAATTTTTGTGAAATTGGCATATTGCTTATTTGTCATTATATGAGGGAATTAAATAAACTAAACCAAGAAACTATATAGTCTATGCTTACTTCATATACATATTGTAATAGTGCAGTAAGTGGACATGAGGGGGCGAAGCCCCTGAGGAGGGGGGGGGGGTGTCCCCCTCCCAAGGTGTGGAAAAAATTAAAAAACTGTATGTATAATACTGCATTCTGGTGTATTTTAACTGCTATTTATTGCTCAATCAGAAGTCAAAAATTGTGGGTTCAATTTACCATAAGTACAGTCATGTTTTCAACTCAACACGCCATTGGTCTGGGGGATAACTTTCTAAGGGAGGTTAAGCTTTTTGGCATAAACTGAGTAGGCTTAAAACAGTACACCTTTGTAAACAGATTGTTGAATGCTTGTCAAATGGTCATGAGTGCATTTTCTCACAGAATTGATACCAACTTTGCCATTTTTTTTTACCTTTGCCATTATTCTTTTGGCACCTCAAATCCCAGGGGGGGAGTCTCCCCCCCCCCCCCTCCCCCCGGCCCCCTGGAGGCTACGGCCCTGGACTCGGATTTTATGCCAAAAAGTTATATCTTCTTAATGTCTGTACATTGACAGGTTTGCATGATATATATTTCTATGAAGGTTTGTTAAATTTTAATTTCATAAAATTTTTTTTTTGTAGGCTTTGCCAAATGGACAATTGTGGTAAAGGAAGATGAAATTCTAATGTGGAAATTATTATGAATATTTGTGCCAAGGTAGAAAAAAGTAACAAAGGTGAATATATGCAGTTTTTAGTTCTTTATTTATAACTACTTCCTGTGATTATATAAATGCCACTTAGTACTCTATATAACATTATTTTATTTAACTGTTATTGTTATTTGTAATTTGAAGTTTACTTCTTGTCTTACATGTATTGTAATCATAAACCTATTTTATTGTTCAGAATTGCTGAAAGGTTTTCTTGTTTATATGTAAATATTTTGGGAATAACAAACATAAATGAAAGCAGTGCTTATGTTTAGTACTTTTATAGATTACATTGTGAAGGAGGGATGGATTGGCATGTAACTTAGTTTAATTTTTCTTCATAGGTTGTATGACCTTACAATAAAAATCCTTTTGTTTTTATCATATGCATTTATCATATGACTGTCCTTTTATATTTAGGAAGGGTCAAGTCTTCTCTTTGATTCTGTGCCCCCTTATTCCAAGAACAGTGTATGAGACTTTTTAAGGAAAAGCTTGTTGATGGTGACAGTGGTTTCACAACTTAACATTTGGGAATTCATCGTATGCATTATGATCGTCAAACAACCACAAGGTCAACATGGCTAATGTTTATTTACAACATAGAGTGGGATAATGTAAGTACTGTTATCTCCAAACAATCACCGGTTGTTTTCTACTAAGTGAAAAAAAATGCAAGTGGTTCAGTGTAATAATTTTAATTAAGTACTGAAAAAAAACAGCTACCTTAAAATAAATATGAACTGTACACTTAGCTTAGGGGTAGCACTAACATGTACATTTGCAAGCTTAAATTTAGCCAAATGCTAAAACCGATTTGAATAGTTATATTTTAACCATCTTAAGAAAAAATTGATGAAAAAGTAGTGACTTGGCTTAGCCAAAAAATTTCTGGCACCCTAGATACTTATGGGCTTCTGTAAAATTAACTAGTGGGTTGATTGAATACCTGCCTGAGATGCTATATGCAACATGTTCATTTTCCAAATTATCTCTACTTTCATTAGGTCATGAGCATTCTTTTGATAAATCCAAGCATAATTCTGAAAGTCTCCATCTGTTATAAACTGTGGTTTAAGTCAACACAGAGATCATTTTATATTATTTTCAATCCATTATAACATGAAGGCAACCCCCTGCTTGTTGAAATGGTGGCAATTGTTTCAGGCACATATTTCTTGTTGTTCATTTTAACACCGTCTTAAATTTTCTGTCCTCATTTTTGTTGGATGCTTGAGTACTGACTGCATCTTATACTCTATAACTTGGGTCCTTTCTTAATTTCACCAATTTCACATTGTTTATGCGGATCTGTAAAATTATATCCATGCTGTTTTTATTATAAGGAGGTTCTGTCTTGACTTGATTAGGCTGGATACAACAGAAAGTTCCAATAGTCCACCTGTCTCTTAATGATTGTAGTTGGGATAGTGTGAGGTGCAGTGAACCTGCTTGTAGCTGTGTCCATTTACTGTTAGTGAATTTAAGGGTTAAAACTCAAAGTCCTCCCCATCCTTCTGTTTACATACAACATGTGACCTCTAGTTATGAAATGAAAGTCTAGTATGGGTGGTGACAAAGTCCAGATGATGTGAACTATGGTACTTAATTGTAGCTCTGCTTAAAAATGTTACATCACCATCTGATTCTCATTTACTTAAACCTTATCAAGTTGATTTACTTTAACCTTATCAAGTTGATTTACCTAAACCTTATCAAGTTGATTTAGAAAATTTTCAACTTGTCAGGAACAATTAGTATGATGTCTAACATGTCAAAAATGTCTAGAATGTTTATATTAAATAATGCAATAAATACCTTGCAACTATTTTCATCCTGTTGCAGGCTTTTTAAAGTTATATAAAAGTAATAACAAGTTTCTTATTTGGCACCTTATATACTACCTCAAGGCACCTTACAATGGATAACATTACTAAATCATTAAAATTTCTAGAATATTTTAATCTAAAACACTTATCAGCACCATTTAAAATTAACACCTCTTTGAACTCAATCTTATTAAAATATGTTAAAAAAATTCAGAGCAACAGTCAAAATTTAAAATATGTGTTGAAGTCTTCTGCTGTAATAGTCTGCTGCTCTAATAGAATTTTGTAATGTAAAATGTATAAAAACTCTTGGGCTGCCTTTTGCCACAGGTCATCATTCTTAGTCATTTTTTTTTTTGGAATATTTTAACCATTTATCAATCCTCATAATGCTTAGATCCTTGGTCAGCAAGAAAATATAGGAACATGCAGGGCACAGTCGAATATTTTACACCAAATGCAGCAAAACTGCTTTCTCTTACAAAGCAATTTGCAAATCAGGCATTGTATAAAACATACTTGAGGCCGACGACAACATGTGTCAGTAACAGAAATGTGTATCTCTTTATATTTAAGTACAACTAGGTTTTGTTATTATTAATAATGTGCAAATATTATCTAAAAGGTTGTTACTTTTAAACTTTCTTTTATGAAATCTTCATAACAGTAGTATATAAATACTGTCCGTATTAGCAAGGCACGAATCAAATATTATTTTTATGATTTACCTTAAACACTGGATTTATCACTGTCTGTCAACGGAGAGTTTAAAGTAGAATTCAAAAAGGTATCTTTTAACTTCCATTTTTTAGTTATCTGTTTTCTTCTAATGGACGTAGTATTGAGACTTAAATGTAATGTGTAATATTGCATCAATTTTATTTTGTGTTTTAATTCTGGACTAATGAAAGATTTGATGCCATTTTGTACTATGAAAATATCTTCTGTAAATTATCATTTCATTGCTTATGATATTAGGAACTAATAAGTTTTTCTTTTTATTCTAGCTGAGTATCTTTGCCTGATCAAGAGCAGAAGAACCAGGTATGTTGCAAGATAATCTTTATTTGAAGAAGTCTAAGTGAAGGAACCACAGTTTTGACTAAATAAAATTAATTCACATGTGCATGTGTGTGTGTGCGTATGCGTGTGCCTACTTTATGTAAGTGTATGTCACTTTAAATAATGGTTACAATGTTGTGCCCTTTTAATTGCAGCTGGCAATATGGATGATCTTCATCAAATCATCCGGTCTGGTATTTTGCCAACTGGTTTCATTATAGATAATTCTCATATATTAAAATTTAATACAATAATCAAGAGAGATGATGATTTGTCTTTGACTCATCTCTGTCACCTTCTAAGGATACCGGAAAATACTGAAAATGTTAGGCATCTAAGGAAGGAGGTAGCTCGAATAATACAAAAAAGTAGAAAACTGGGTGGTGAAAACCGTGAAAAGTATCTCGCAACAACATTTGCACCAAGTGGACACTTAAAAAAAGTTATGCCTAGCATTGAAGGACCCAGTAAGAAAACAACATACAAGAGAAGTAAGGAAGATAAGAAAAAAATGCAGAGGTTGGTACAAAGTAAGAATATGTGGAAAGCCAAGTATACAACTATGAGAGAAAAGCATGAAAATCTTCAGAAACAGAATATCCTGCTTCGGAAGAAAGTAAAACAAAAGCAGATCAAAGTGGAAGGGTTAAACATTATGGTGAGGAAAATGAAGACACAGACACAGAAACTGCAACATGAGAAGTCAAAGAAAACGCAAACCAATGCAGTTTTACGTGATAAAGTACATCATTTGGAAAATGTAATTGAGCAGCTGAAGGGACTTGAAGAGGAAAACAATATCAATATGAAGAAGATAGCTGATCAAAACCAAGATATATTGGAAATGCGTACCTCCATAGATTACTTGGAACAAGTTTTGCAGGATGCACCAACTAGGGATTTGCATCTGTGGCAAGAAAATCGCTTTTCAGATGCCACAGATATTTGCATATTAGAACTGTTGGGAGAAAACGTGGGGATGAATCACATAAGTAATGTCATAGCAATTGTTGCATCTCTCTGCGGAAAGGATAACGTAGACCGTTTTCCCTCCGTAAGCCATATACGAGAGGTTAATTTAAGAGCTCTAGAAGTGGCCAAACAACAAGTGAGTGAGGTTCTCGTCCCAGAAGAAAATACAACCCTGTACTCTGATGAAACAACTAAAAAGGGCCATAAGTTTACTGGCTACCATGTGAGTGACAGGGAAGGAGGATTGTACATGCTAGGACTTAGAGAAATGTCTAATAAATCTGCTCAGACAACTTTAGACACATTTCGTGAAATATTAGATGATCTTGACAGGGCTAATGATGAAAGAGCAAGAACAGGGCTACAACCATCTGTGGGAAAACAAATACTAGCAAATATCAAAAACACAATGTCAGATCAAGCAGCAACCTGCAAAGCCTTTAATGAACTATTGCAGAGGTACAGGCTATCCATTCTGCCAGATGTTTGCACCGACTGGGCCAGGCTGTCGCAAGCAGAACAGGCCGCACATGGCAAAATGTACAATTTCTTCTGTGGATTGCACCTTCTTGTAAATCTTGCAGAAAGTGCCAACAAATGTATTGTTAAATTTGAACAGGAGTGTGATGCCAGTACTCAGGGTGCTGCTGGAAGACCAGACACTGCTTCTTTCACTAAGAGTACTGAATCTGGAATGGTGAGGCTGGTGAGAACTGCCTGCAAGGCCTTCGCAAGAGGTGCAGATGAGAAGAATGGGTGTTGGAGGGATTTCAACACCCACATGATGGATAGGTACAACATAAAACCGAAGTTGGTCCCTTTTAGAGGCAATCGCTTTAATGTGGTGTTTTTAGATGCAGCCCTAGTTTTCCATTACTCCGAGAAGGCCAGAGACTTTTTGGAGCAGGTGCATGGAACACCAAACTTGCTGCTCAGAGCATTGCTTTCTGACCTGAAGACTCCTCTATATATAGCAGGAGCTAGAGCCATGGGTCTCCTTGATAAATTGGTTACATCACCCCTATGGAGGATAATCGAGCGAAAAGGCCATATCCTGGAAATGAACCAGAATTACACTACCCTCAAGGACTTTTTTACCAGAACGGCAATAGATGCAACGCCCTTGCTCAATGGAGAAAGTCCCTTTCCTAATGAAGTTAAGTGTCCTGATGTGGTTCTAACACATCTCCTTGAGGAAAGTGACAGTGATCTTAGCACCAAACAAATTTTGCAGTATGTTATGACCGCATGGGCCACTTACATTGCAAAAGCCATGTCAGACCATCTTCCAGGGGGGAAATTTGCAGGCGAAGTATCTACAGAGGTCAAGGAAGAGACGGCATCTGCATTAAAACACAACAAATTTCCTGAGCGAGTGTTTGCACTACTGGATCACCTGGTGAAGGTAAGGCCCAATGCCTCAACCCTGACCAATGAGGCCCACATGATGTTCACTTTAAATAAGACCGGTGAGTGGTTAAAGGCCAAGACACCTGAGGACCAGAGTCGTGTTCTAGACAAGGCAAGGCGTGAGAGCCGTGTGACACAAGTGAAATTTAGGGAGAGATTGGTCGAGATTGAAAGAGAGAATGCTGCCAAACTGAAATCTAAGCAAGAGGCCATTGAAAGGAAGAGACAAAAGGATTTAAAAGAAAAAGCAGCTTTAACCAGTGACATTATCTACTATGGGCTGTGGCAGAGAGTGTCTGAAGTTGATAGTGCTTTGGAAGAGATTACTTCAGATGTGGAAAAGAGGAAAGCTCTTGCTGCCCAACTTAAGTTCAGAAAGCGGGTTCTCCAGCAAGAAGTCAGTGATGCATCAGTATTCAACACCACCAGGAAAGACAATAAAGACATAACCCTGCACCAACTGGTCACAAATGTGAAGAAAGTCATCACCTCAGCATATGGCATAGAAGAGGCTACAGGTACAAGTGGCAACAAGTCAGGAGAGTTGAGACAACTGGGACAACCACTTCTTGTTGGCAAGAAGATCAGACACAAGTTTACAACTGCTGAAGGGGCTGAATGGTTCAGAGGCTATGTAATCTCAACAGTGCCAGGGTTCCGAGATTGGTACAATATAAAGTATGACAATGACCCAGCTATATATACATATAACTATCCAGATCTCCTGTTGGCAGACTATCAGTCGGGTGATTTAGTTATTGAGCCTGGTCAGTGATAAGTACTTGCATTTGATATTACCCACTTTTGATGTCAGTATGCGAGTTTTATGCATGGTGTTATTTCTTTTACAGTCAATCAAAGTTTCTCAACATTGAAAAACTCAATTGCACGCTGTTCAATTGTATTTGTTAGCTTGACATTACTTCCTATCTTGTATTGAGTTTAATATAATTGGAAGGAGGCTGGTAAGAGGAAGACAGTGAAATGACCACAAGGCTTCTTCTGTTTTGGACTAAATTGTTTACGGGAAATTATAACATTTCCAGGCATTAAGCCAATTTTCTGTTTAACAGAGGTCACTGTCTGCCTTTTAATAGCATGATTCTAAAGATTATTTCTAATATTATGTTTGTCTAACTTATGAATTTCTGAATTTGTTATTTTCAAGTTATAAGTTTCTAAGGTTATTTTTTAAGTGGGAGGGGGTGTGGAGGAGAAAATTAAATGCCTTGTTTTAAAAAAATGACGGCTTGGATTCCCTAAAATTTTGTAGGAAATTACAGTTGGTAATATTTGGGATGGCCTGTACCCCCAATAATGGCATGTCACAAATAATATCTTTTCTCTATTCATTTCCCCTCCCCCAATCCAAATTAAATTATGGTCAGTTCATTAGGCTAATTCATAGTGGCTGCAATAAAATTAACAAGTGGGTTGTTTAGTTTCTATATTCTTTCTATACAGTTAAAAGGGATAGCAACTGTTCATTTTGGTCAATAAATGATTTTTCCCATGCTTACTACTGGTTAAGGAATCCACCTCAACATTCAAAGTTGGTCCCTGTTTTTTTTTTTTTTTTTTTTTTGATTGTTTTTTTTTCTAAAAATTTTCTTTTTTTTTGTTATATTCTCTTAAGAGATTATTACAGAGTGTAGTAAGCTATGGAGTTCACATGTGATGCCAAGCACAAATTCCAGAATAATTGCATTAACCACTGTTTTAGTGGAAAAGATAATTTATAACACTTCTATGAGTTGTTGACAATGCATTTATTGTGAAATATGTATATCATACGAACAGTTGTTATTCTTTTAAACCACCCCTATGCAAAACTAAAATGTATGTAAATAATTAAAGAGATATTTTCTAAAGGATTGATAATTTTCCCAATTGAAAAGATCAAATCATTACTGTAATGCATTCTTGCATGTCTCATACATTAGTTGATTACAGAGAATAAATGCATCGCATGAGATAATGTTCATGATGTTTAATAATTTTAACTTTTGTTGTTGATTAAAATTCTGAAGAGATACATGGTACCAAGTAGAAACTAGATAAATTTGAAAGTAAAAATTTGTCTTTCATTTTAGTAGAAAAGAGATGCACATTTATTGCAAAACAAAATTTGAAACATAAATCTGTGAAAGCCTTAATGATATTTCTTCACATCAAACAAAAAGGGTAAAAATTATCAATTTGTCATTTCAGCCTCAGTAGTATGAAGGGGAACATGATAATCAAACTGGTGGATTGATTTCAATGCTAGAGTCATACTTGGAACTAGGGAAAACAAGAGGACAGTCTCACAGGACTAGAAAACATTGTTACATGTGTACAGCACATAGCATGATCAAGGTCCAGGTACCTCTCAGTAATTTGCATCTCATGTGAGGTCTTAAAGTCAAGAGAGGAAACAAGATCAAAATTGGGCTTTGACCAGATAACTTTATCTGGACCTCACTGCATCACTTACTGCAACATAGAAGAGTGACAACAACTGTTTAAAAACACTTTTTTGATTCTTGAAGATCAACATGAAAAATCCAGATCTGTCTTTTTTATTATTTTATTTATTTATTTTGTGTGGTGATGTACGTATGCTGTTTACACATCTTTGTCAATGACCTTGAAGGTGTGAATATTGTTAAGTCCCTTTGGGGAAGTTCTCTATATGTACATGTAGGTATTTGTGTGAAAAACTTTGATGAAAGTATATATATATCTAGAACTTAAGTCTAGGAGAAGAACGTACATTGAAATAATATAAAAAACTTTTTGAGGAGGATCTCCATGCCAAAGACTTAAAATAGCTCGGGTTTAAATCTTACTGTTATTTGTATTTATATATTTACTTTTTATATATGCAGACTTCTGTACATCATAGTATAATTAAACCAAAAGATTTTTAAAACTACAATCATCTATATTTCTTTATTTATTTTGTGTGTGTAAAGTACGTATGCTGTTTACACATCTTTGTCAATGACCTTGAAAGTGTAAATATTATTGAGTCCCTTCTGAGAATTTCTCTCTATGTACATAAAGGTATTTGTGTGAAAAACTTTGATGAAAGTATATATATATATATATATATATATATATATATATATATATATATAACTTAAGTCTAGGAGAAGGACATACATAGAAATAATACAAAAAGACTTTCTGAGGAGGATCTCCATGCCAAAGACTTAAAATAGCTTTCAGTTAAATCTTACTGTTATTTGTATTTATATATTTACTTTTTATATATGCAGACTTCTGTACATGTAGTATAATTAAACCAAAATATTTTTATAACTGCAATCATCAGTTTTGTGGTGCAAGAATTCCCTATAACAGTGGTTAACTCATTGTGGTGCAAGAATTCTCTATAACAGTGGTTAACTCAGATTTGTGTATTCTTAACTTTGGCAGACAAATGGGAATTCCAAGCACAAATATTGTTACAGATAATTATTTTTCTTTATCAATATTATCATGGGTCAAAAAAACTACTTAGTCACATGAATTATATAAATTAAGTCTATCCTTCATACATGGCAAGTTAATTTTCAATGATATTTAAGCTTTGAAACATTACAGCATTACTAATAAGTTTAAATAGTAGTAACACAGGTGCTACATGTATATAGCTTGATTTATTTTCTTTTAAGCTCACTAGACACAAAATAAACCTAATTTTATTATTTAATTATGGTTTTTACTCATATCAAGACAACTGCTGGAGAGAGAGAATTTCATTACAAACTGCCTTATCAGCAGTTGTAAACAGGGTGATGGAAATATGCATGGGGGCAACATCCTCAGAATTGGATTGAATTTTTTTTTGGAGGGGGCATTCTTATTTTTAGCGAGAAGTCTATCATAAAATTATGTGCCATGTACGTATTATACATGTGTCCAATACTAAGGAGTAAGGGTAGATATGCAAGAATAACCCTATGATCCCAGGGTGTGGGTTGTTTCGAAATATGAATGTTTTTTTTTCACAATGACAATTTGCCACTTGAACTTAATATTGCATAGAAAAACAGTAACAGCAGCCTAGATGTGGCTGCCCTAGACATGGATGTTATTTTTTTTCTTGAAAATACTTACTTTACCAATGCATGAATTATCCACTTATCTCTCAATAGATTAATTGTAACATTTTTTTCTTTTGATCAATAAACTAATAAATTTATTTATATTACAATTGTTGAATTATTGTGTCAGTTATCTAGCCAACGGGAGGGGGGAATGAGGTGGGAAACCACCACAGACAGATGTCCATGGGGAGGGGTTGCTGGGGAGGTGGGTGATTTCTTAATTTTTTTACATGAAGGTGGTCATAGGTTAATCTTCCATGTAAAATCTAATAATCTGTGATCTATGTCAAGAACAATAATAATTATACTTACAACATTAGGGTGGGGCTAGAGTTACATGTAGGCGTGGCTGAGGTGAAGCACAGGGGTATGCCAACTTAACATTGACAGCATCTACTATTAATTTTGTAATAATACTCATATGTAAGACAATTTTTCTACAAAGAGTTAGTCTTGTTGATGAATAAAACATAAGAAACCTCTATTTTCTGGCATTTACCGTCAAAATCGATCATTTTGCTTAATTCACATGCACATAACTTTGCTCAGGAAAATGCTAGAAACAAAATTTAAACTATGGTGTAATGCCCAACTCCTATACTTATTGTGTGCCAAATTTCAAATGTCTGTGACAATATTAAGGGGATGAAAAATGATAGGGGCAACTTTTGACTCATTTTTGAATATGCCGCCTGAAAAAAAGGACAAACATGGTGTTACTAAAACTTGAATAACTTTTGATCTAAATGAGATAGATTAAAAATTTAAATTGATTATTCATACTCAAATATGTGGCTATCTGTGCACCAAATTTCAAGTCTCTAGCCCACTTAGAAAAATATCATGTGTGCACCCTACATGCAAGACCACCTTATCACCACTAAAGCAATTTGCCTGTCACATACTCCCCCACACCTCTTTTCAATGTTAGCAATTTCATGCAGATTTTTGATGACAAAACTTTCAAAGCTACAGCCTTGATCACTGTGCAACCTGGCTGGGAAGCCAAAATGAACAGCAAGATTCTCAAATATTGCTTTTGCTGTAGCTTTTGCTGTTTGGTTTTTAGTGGACACCACCAAGGCATACCTGGTAAAATGATCAGTCGTCATTAAAATACTATTAAAACCACCCTTTGATGGTTCCAGACTCAAATATAGTCGATACAAACCAACTCCATGTGTTGTGTCATTTGAACATTCACAAGTGATGCAGCAGTGCAGCAGGTACTGAGGCTGGACTTTTTCTCTTTGCACACTGATTGCAAGTTCTTACCTTTTCTGCCACATCCTTTGCCGTATTTGTTCAGAAAAAAAACATTTTCGTACCAATGCCATGATGCAATCACTGCCAAGATGAGCCATTTTGTGGCAAAGGATTTCTAGGACAGAGTTTTGGTTTTCTTTAGGAAGGACAAGCTGAAACTAGATGGTGTTGATGGGTAGCCATATCCCCGGACTTCTCCATATTATCAAGAGCAGCTCACCCCTAGGGACCACTTACCACACACACACTTCTTTATTTCTCATGATATAATAAATAAACAATTTAAAAATATTAAACTATCACATACCAGTTCTGTAATGGAATCTGAAATAAACTACTTTAATTTAGTGACTGTGCTTCATAAGTAAATAGTGTTTGACTGTCAAACAAAATTAGACAATATATCAATTGTATTACCACACCACGCTTAATAGTAAGCGACTATGCCATAAACATATTGAAGATATGTCTGTGTGGTCCTTAGTCCATTTAAAGACAGCAAACTACAGGAAATTGCTGACTTGACTAGTGACCAAGTTCATACTGAATTTTCTCAAGTCTATATTTCTTGGATCTTTTTATCAATTGGAGACTCAAAGATAGTTTGACTTCCTATCTCACCATCCTTGTTGTTGCTGTTGTTGTTATTGTTATCTTTTTCAGCAGAGCATGATGATATAGCAGTGAAAGTGGTTCTGTCATATGCCTGGCAGGTGCTACCTGCTGACTGTTCGTTTCCTCCTCCTGTCACAGCATTATCTATGTCATCTACCTCTTCAAAAATTCTGATGGTTGGGCACATTTGGCCTAGTGCATCATATTTTTGTGTTGCAGCATCTTTCTCTTGGGCAAGAGAAACTTACTATATACACACTGCGTAACTAAGGCTAGAAGGCTAGTGCCTTCATGTGATAGTTGGTAGCCATCTGGAGCTAAAAGGTGTTCTTGTATCATGCCTCTTCTTAAAAAGTTACCATTGTCACAATAGTGTAGGTTGGCAATGCCTGATGCTAAGATATCATGTCTGATGCAAATTTCAAATTGTCAAATTTTGTGGTGTAAAAAGTGTTTGAAAAATGACACTGAAATAATTGACACCATTGAACCTGTATCCCACTATGCCTGACATATATTATTTTACATTATTATTTTTTAAATACAATTTGTGAAGAATTGTAAACATACTCTGGTTTAGTTCACATGGTTTTTCATAAAAGGTCAACTTCAGTATAACAAAACTTATCTGGTTTTACTTCTTGTACTGCAGTTTACTCATTTCTTTTACAGGAAAAATGGAAGCTACTCCCAGCATTCCTAAAAGTGAAAGGCCTGGTTAAACAGCATATTGACTCCTTCAACTATTTTGTCAATGTAGAGGTGAGATATTTTAAACTGCATTATGTTTAAAGGGTATCATTTAATGTCTTTATTTCCATGTGTTTTAAGAATGTACAATATTGGAAAAATCATTATGATATCAGATGTTAAGTGTTATCATGGTAATAATAATACTATGCTTGCGTTTCATGCACTTTATGAAAAATAATTTCAAACTGAACGTATATACTTTTTCTTCAGATTAAAAATATCTTGAAAGCAAATGAGAAAATAACAAGTGATGCAGATCCAACTTTCTACATGAAGTAAGTTTAGAACCTAACTGGGACATCTTATTAGCAACTCAATTTTTTTTATGTTAATTGAATACATGTCATAAACATGACATCAATTTTTGTTAGCTGAAAACATGGTTTAGTGATATTGTAATCTTTATTGTTTACCTAACTTAAGTAAATGTGACATTTTACAGATATTTGAACATCTATATTGGAATGCCAGATGCAGAGGAAGGGTACCAAATTGCAAAGACCATATCACCACATGAGGTATGCATTCCACTTTGTTTTTTATTCTTCAGTAGGTCAACATTTTAAAGCCCTGTTTTTAGATTTTATTTCATGTATTTCATGAGTTCACTATATGTTTTGGTTTGAGTGAGGTGGTTGTAAAAACCATTTTATTGCTATATAGTTATTTAATTTATTTCTCTCCTTATGAAATTATGTTCATTGGTATGTGGATTGTTCATTCATTTATTTGTTGTTTATTTATATATTTTAGTGTCGCCTCAGAGACATGACATATTCAGCCCCTATCACAGTGGATGTAGAATACACTAGAGGGAGCCAGAGGATTGTCAGAAATAATCTACCTATTGGAAGGTACTGTAATGTTTTGATTGTAAACAATTCTGCTGTTGTTAAAATTTTAGATCATATTTACTATCCAAGGAATGTTCATTTATTGTTGTGAGGTTTAACCAGAAATTACTTGATTTTAATCATTTTCAATTTTACTTAATTTTTCAAAACCAGCTAGCAGGAAACCAAAGAGTGAGGTATTTCAGTCAATGCTATAATATCATGTGTTGCTTTATGAAGGTTTGTGTTATGGGTAAAATAATTCACTTCAAAATTTGATGATTTGTATTTATATTTGATAAATTCTAGGATGCCTATAATGTTGAGGAGTTCTAACTGTGTGCTTACTGGTAAAACCCCAGCTGAACTTGCCAAGCTTAATGAATGTCCTCTTGATCCTGGGGGCTACTTTGTGGTCAAGGGGACAGAGAAGGTCATTCTTATACAGGAACAGCTGTCCAAAAATAGAATGATTGTTGAACAGGACAAAAAGGGGAATGTTGGGTGTTCAGTCACAAGGTAAATATGGGCTCAACTTATTATTATTTTTAGTACACATATTATAATTTGGCTAAATTTGGTTAGATATTTTTTTATCCAAGAGTGAGCCTAGGAAACAAATAGACAATTTAAAGAGTTTTGCGTTATGAATAGTATCATTACATTTTTTGTATAAATTGCATGCAGAGTATTTGTGTTTGTTATTTATATTTATAATGTAATTTTCCATACCAGTCATTCAGATATTTTGATATATTCTATGATATAGCTCAACCCATGAACGGAAGAGTAAAACATATGTCATTCAGAAGAAGGGAAAGTATTACTTGAAACATAATACATTTGCAGAAGTGAGTTCAAAGCCTTCATGATTAATAACCCTCTGAAGTGTCAGATAAGATAAGAACTGTTTTTGGATACATTTGATCTACCATATATTCATTATTGAAGTAAAATTATACATTATTATATTATATCAAAAAATATGATTTTTGGCAAACTGGTAGTTTACCTTTTGATGATAGTACTTGAGAATTTATTATTGCTTAACAGAAATCCCCAGGCATTATGGGATTTTTAATTTGAAGAAATTAATTTTTAATAAGGACATTCCAATAGCCATAGTGTTCAAGGCCATGGGTGTCCAGTCAGACCAGGAGATAGTCCAGATCATAGGCAGTGAGGAGGAGGTCCTGGCAGCCATAGCACCTTGTCTGGAGGAATGCCACAGGGCACAAGTATTTACCCAGAACCAGGTGTGTTTACCTACTGATTAAGTCATTTTCCCAGAATGATGATGAATTTGAGAATGGAGGCAATTTTGACTCCAATCCAGACTACTAATGGATCGAAGCGTTTTTCTCTTTAAACTTGTATCTCTTCAGCTTAGTTCAATTAATTAACGTATTTAATGACGACTGCTCTACAAAGTCCCTAAGAATAGATGTGTGTGCATGATACTTTCTTCATTGGTGAATGAATGTTTTGCAGGCTTTGAAGTACATAGGTAACAAACTGAGACAGAGAAGACTGATGTGGGGCAGTGCCAAGAAGACAAAGCTGGAGGAGGCTAGAGAGTTACTGCAGGGGATTGTGCTAGCCCATGTGCCTGTGAGTAGTCACATTTGATTCATGTAGTCATGATGTCAGATTAGCATTTTGTGGGAAACTCATTTGAAAGAGGAGTTGGAAGCACATGCTTTTTCCAAGTTCAAATCCTTGTTAATGGTTTTAAAATGAATTTTCACTAGGCCAGAACTTATGAAAATAATGAGACTTCAATTTGATCTTTAATATGTCCTTGGCATTTACCCTTTCAAAATAGAATAGAAAATGTTTCCATAGTATTAAAATTTGATTAAGTCAGATTTATTCCAAGAAATAATTTTAAAATAGCATCTCTTGTACATTTGTTGTTAAATGACCCAGATTATGTTGTCTATTTAGGTTGAACAGTGGAACTTCAAGATCAAGTCAGCATATCTTGGGTTGATGGTTCGGAGGGTTATCTTGGCTCAGGGGGACTCTGTGAAGGTTGATGACAGGGATTACTATGGCAACAAAAGGTTGGAGCTGGCAGGACAACTGTTGTCTCTTCTGTTTGAAGACTTGTTCAAGAAGTTTAATGCTGAGGTGAGGATAAATAGTTTTTCCTTTGTGTGCACAGAGCACCACTATTTTAAACTTTTTTCACAAATTTTTTTATTTTAAATTAGTGAAGTATAACTGTAACCAGGAAAGGCAAGGCATAATTTTACAGTTATGCAACTTCTAGTCATTTGACACTTCTTGATATATTGCATTCTTCCTTAAAGAAGGACGGAAGTACATACGTTTTTTTATGTAGTCCGACTGAGTAATTTTTTAATATTCGAGTCCCAGGACTCCCGTTTCCGAGCGATAGCCTGATGCGATGTAATTGACGATAATGCAAAACCACTCACCTGAACGCGACTGCCTTACACTCGCTGAAACGGAAATGACGTAACATGTTTGGTATACTCGCTTCACCGTCATGCTGCTAAATAGTTTGGAAGTTTGAAGCGGGTTGTGTTTCTCATCATATTCTAACTGAAACAAGTTGAAGAGAGGCAAAGGACGCTATTGTGTGGTGCATGGAAGCAACAGTACTAGTTTCTCTATTGACGAAGTTTTGTTTCATTTCTTTCGGGTAAAAAATAGAAATTGAGAAGACAGTGGATCAATTTTGTTTGCGTGCCGTAAAGATTTTGATCTGCCGTCGAAGACGATGCGGATATGTGAGAAACAATTTGAGATTCGCTACCTGATATAGTAACGACAATTGAAAACATTGAAAAAGAAGAAGAAATGTAAAATTTTGCTGACAGAGATAGTTACGACCACTCGCCTGCATACCAAGATATTCATCATACAGAGGCACAAGGTATCATAGATTGTAATTAGAATGCAGTCTTCCATAAGTACTTCCATTACTTTTTATTTATGATAAGTTTATATGATTTGAAACTAACTGATGACACTCAGTATACCAGTGAAGGGCAGAAGCTGTGGAGATTTTTTAAATCACTTGTTCAGATTATCTTTTTACCCTAACTATAGTTTACTTCTGTGTGTGTGAGTGTATTTTAATAGAAAAGATTTGAAATGTGTTATTAAGTCTGTCCACATATACATAGAATGTTTTCTTATATTTTCAGATACTAGTAACAAGAGGGTCCCAGCTGAAGGGAATGAAGGTCCAATATCATTTGCTGTTCAGTCTAAGCCTAAGCTTCAATGTAAAGGTGGGAAAGCTTCATTATACGTTAGTTCATTTTGTGTACTTTAATTTATGACAATTGCATTGATTATTATTATTATTATTTTTATTGCCACAGATGTCCAGACAAACAGAAATGAAATATGTCACATGCAGAATATTCTGGTCACATCATTTATGCCTCTGACAAATCTCTTCAGCAGCACTTGGTCAGAATTTACATTGAATTGAGTTCATAATGGATTTGAATTACTTTAAAAGTACATTGTTTTAGGTTTGGTCCACTGACTGCTGACGGTTGAAGACGGTTGAAGAAAATTCAGTGACATACCTCTGGTGGGAATAGCCCCACCCCCTTTGATAGCACAGTACAGGAGATCACAATTTTGTGAGACTGTCTCGATTTAACAAGTGAAGGGCAGCTCTTTTGCAAGCCATGAAAATTTCTATGTATATTTGACTTGGAACCAAAATGTTATAGGGTCCACAGAGGCACCAAATGGAGAAATTATGTTCATAATTAATTTTGACACCCTTCAATGTATGAAAGCAAAACATGAAAACATTTCACATGAGATGAATATTTAATATGCACTTGTACCATGTGAAACTTAGAGTTCAAGCCTTAATTCATATGTCATGAAGTCTTAAATATTGTGCAATAAACTTGCAAATGAAATGTGTATAATAAAGTGTACTGTGAGATAATCATATAAATTCAATTTGAACTTCTTTTATCTTAAGCTTATCCCATAATAGTAGTGTGGAAAAATAAAACTGACTTAATATAATGGAAACGCTGGACAAGATTTAACTATGAAGATTTCTATCTGACACTTGTGATAAATGTGCATATACAGTATATATTTTATTCTTTGATGATTAACCATTTCTTTATACAAGATCAACTCTACGTCACTTCAGTCTTCGTGCACGTTAATGGAATAGAAGTAAATCCAAGTTGGGCAATTTTAACTGTCCACTTGATGTAAGCATGCTTCTAATCTTAATCAATGCACAAGCAGGTAGGGGGACCCTGCATTCTTTTCCCCCAAAGAAATCTGCACCGCCACACCACTTGGCAATAATATATTTGAAGATATTTCCTGTAAGAATATAATACAATTGCCCAGTAAGTTTCATGACAATAAATGAAAAAAATATTATATATTCCATTTGGGTGAATTAAAAGCAATGTATACATTTCAATAAAATATAGAGGAAGATTTAGAGAATTTCAGAATTGTGCTGATGGTAGTATTGCTTGAGTAACTGATTGAATATGTTTACATGTACCATATGTCTGATTTACCGTATGATTTACTTGAATTACTATTTCCTGTGCTGCAATTTCCACTGTATAGGGATTTAGACAGCCCTGATCAAATCCTGAGTGCATGGTTATATAACAAACACCACCTTTCTACAAAAAATAAATAAATAAATAAATAAATAAAAAAACGCTGGTAAATTAGGTTACACATGGCATATATGTATGTTAGACATGCAGACATAATTTACATAACTTATTTAATTCAAAATGTTACGTTTTGCTCCTATTCCTGAAGTATTTTGCATAATACTTCTAATGTTATATTACTTACCACTAAGGAAGTAAATATAGAACTTGTAAACTGGAAGTGACACCAGTGCCACCGCCGTCTCCCTCGTCTTCAGAGTCTGACTGAAAGGGTTCAAATTTGTAAGGGAGTACCGACTGTGTCAAGCTTCGGACGCTTGCCGTGCTCGCCTCATTTCTTTCATCATCTACGTCGTCCAGACCATAGTCCGACGCGTGAATCTGCCTACCAACTCAGTCGCAGACAGTGTAGGCCATACCCCTGACGTCACCTCGCAGTGGCCTCGATTTCGGCTATTTCCAGCCTTCCTCCAAACGAGCGGTTTTCACAGGTGAGAACCCGTGCATTCAATGCGCTATAAATAGGTCAATAGTGTACGTATTGAAGTCGCGCTTTCGGCGAGTCGTATTTAAGAAAATACACTATCGGACTACATAAAAAATCGTATGTACTTCCGTCCTTCTTTAAATACATTTTACTACATTTATGTGTTTATTCTATTACATTTTCCAATTCTGTATCTTAATGTTTTTTATGAAAGGACTTTCCATTTTAGCTGAAGAAAATAGCCGACCAAACCATTCCCAAGCCACGAGTTGCTCAGTTTGACATTGTGAAGCACATGAGGCAGGACCAGATCACCAATGGACTTGTTCATGCCATTTCTACTGTAAGTTAACAATGACTCAAATGTTGGTAAAGAATAAAGGTTTTTTTATGGAAATCTCTTTAATTTTCTAAAGTCATTCAGCAATCAGCAAATACAAGGTCAGTTTTCTTCTACCTGGGGTTGACAATACATGGACAGTTTAAAGATAAAATCAAAGACTAATTGATCCTTATCAGTACAGGTTATAGATGTTACAACCTTCTCTGATTTTGGATTTGCAATTTTATGGATTGTAAATGAGAATTTTTTCTGGTCAAATTGGTGTTGATCTTTCTTTCAGGGCAATTGGTCAATCAAACGCTTCAAAATGGACAGGGCAGGGGTCACTCAGGTGCTGTCCAGACTGTCCTTTATCTCTGCACTAGGTATGATGACCAGGATATCCAGTCAGGTGAGTTAAGGTCTTAAATCTCTCAGTGTGACTGTTATTGGGATAAATTTATTTATATTAATCTCATATTTTATTTGACCAGTCAGTGCATTTGATAGTAGTGATACACATCTATTAACTTTTTCCACTTTTTCTCTCTGCTAATTTTTGAAAAAATTGAAATTTTGTTGATATTTTTGCCGTAGCATAGAATTATTTTTATGCAAACCTTCAGAAAATTTTATGAAACCTCATGCTGCAATGACATGATAAAATCTTATTTGTTTTATAATTGAATTTTTTTTTTCAGTTTGAGAAAACCAGAAAAGTCAGTGGTCCTCGTTCACTCCAGCCATCCCAGTGGGGCATGCTGTGTCCCTCAGACACCCCTGAGGGTGAGGCATGTGGACTGGTCAAGAATTTGGCCCTAATGACCCATATAACAACTGACTTGGATGAAACCCCTATCATAAGGCTGGCCATGAACCTAGCAGTGGAAGATATACATCTTCTGAGTGGAGAGGAACTGAGCTCTCCACATGTTTATTTGGTGTTCTTGAATGGTGAGAATGGTGTAACTTTACTTATTTAATAAGTAAAAGCTAGTCACTGGTTATTTGTACCATAATGTAGTGGTGTCTTAATAACATTTTTGACACGGACATATGTTTTTTTTTTTTTTTAAATAACAGTTTGGATAAAAATTGCTTATTTCTCAACATTTTTTCATGTATGAAAAGGGTATGATACAATTTTCTTCAAATATATCAAACCAGATTATATATTGTGAAATGCTACTTTATGCTAATTTTGAGTACAAAGTGATGATATACTTTAACACTTTATGAAGAGTGAAGAAAACAACTTGATAAACTGGTGTCATGCTTTCTTTTCAGGAAACATTCTTGGTGTGGTCCGTAATTATAAGAAACTGGTGAGAACTTTCCGTCTGATGAGGAGGGCAGGTTATATCAATGAGTTTGTGTCCATATGTCCCAGTCATACACACAGATGTGTTTATATTGCGTCTGATGGAGGCAGAGTGTGTAGGTGCGTATTTTGTGGTGAAAGCTTATCAGGTATTTCTCTTACTCACAAATCATTAGTTGATACATTCTTGCACTTGGATTAGATGTTTGTGCCATGAAACAATATAGATATGATAAACAAACCACGTTTCATTTAGAATCAAGTGCTCAGAAGGAAATATTGACATCCATTACTCTTCAGATAAACTTTGAGGGACTAACTTTTTTAATGTCTGTATTGTGAAAGATAAGAAGCTATTACTGCTTAAAAGTTAATGTTTAGAAAATGACCGAATATGTTTTTTATTAATTTTTTCAGACCATATATTATTGTGGAAAACTGCATGCCGAAAGTCACATCAAAACACATAGAGGAGTTAACTCAAGGATTCAGGCAAGTCTTCTTTGTTTTGTCATATAACAATCTTAAGATGGTTTGTAAACATATAATTATTTAAACCACAGAAAATACTGGTTAATTGATGAATTATGACATTATTTTATGCAGGTGCTTTGAAGACTTCCTAAGAGACGGCCTTGTAGAGTACTTGGATGTGAATGAAGAAAGTGACAGCCAAATATCACTATATGAAAGTGCAATAACCAGGTATTTTTTAATGAAGAATGTTTTATTCAGATAAATGTTTCTGCAGACTGGCAAGTGAATAACAATCTGATAATCAGCCATTTTATAATAATTTAGAAATGTTTGAATCAGTGTGTCAGTTTAGGTCTCAGGTAAGGTGTATTTGTACAAAGCTGATATTTTAACTATTGAATATTTTTGGTTGGTATTTTAAATTTTACTAGCAACAGACTGTCAGTTTATGTCCTATTTTGAATATGTCATGGAGAATTATATTTTGTCCTACAGCATAACAACTCATCTAGAAATAGAACCCTTCACAATCCTTGGTGTGTGTGCTGGGTTAATCCCCTACCCCCACCACAACCAGTCCCCCAGGAACACATACCAGTGTGCTATGGGGAAACAGGCCATGGGGACTATTGGATACAACCAAAGAAACAGAATTGATACCCTCATGTATTTATTGTGCTATCCACAAATACCTATGGTCAGAACTAAGGTGAGTTGATTATTATTAAATTTTTTATTATTTGGTAGAGCACTATTTAAATTTATGAGCGTTAGGCATCTGGTAGGTGAGTGACATGCAAATTCTATTTCGTATGAAAATATTGGTCATTCTTAAATAAGAGATATGCTTGCGCATGCATACTCAGTTTAGCTTGTGACATGTGGCTGGTGCAGACAGCCTAAATAGATGGGATCTATTTGCTTTCAAAATCAGTCAAAAACAAATGCAGTTTGTTGCTTCATAAGTAATATTTTTGCCAATGTTTTGCTTCCATAGGAAAGTGCTGGGAGTAAAAAAAAATACCCTGTGTATGGAAGATATGGTGCTAAATATCACATATTTAGCAGGCCATTGAAATTGCTATGCTATGAAATTGCATACAGTCAGGTTTAATCTCTTGAACATTGATGTTTTTGAAGCACACCAATGATATTATCATTTTCTTTCAGACTATAGACTTGATCCATTTTGACAAGGTCCCTGCAGGTCAGAATGCCACAGTGGCTGTGATGAGCTATAGTGGATATGACATAGAAGATGCTCTAATATTGAACAAGGCCTCCGTTGACAGGGGTAAGTGCTGTTCATGTGTATCTATTCCATCTAACTATTTACCTTGGAGACTGTTGTACGGTTGGGGATGCCATAGATGACCTGACAGTCAGTTGATTTCATTCTTCTTGCCTTTTCATCTAGCTCTAGCATCTAAAATGGAGTCACTGTTATAAATGCATTATAATTTGTATGACAAATTACAATTATTTATGTGTCTATCACAGTGATTTAACAGACCCCTTACCATCCATAACATATAAACATGACAAATATTTTTAATCTGTTATGTCTCTTAAATGCTTTACTCAATGTTTACTTTTGTAAAACAAATTAATACATTTTGGAATGTTATGCTAAGGAGAATGAGTTTGAACTTTGTTTAATAAACCTTCATTCCATTGATGAAGTGATATAATAAATTACATGGATTGCATTCTTTTAGGTTTTGGCCGTTGTCTAGTGTATAGAAAGAATGGTACCACATTGAAGAGGTATGCCAACCAGTCTTTTGATAAAGTCATGGGCCCAATGCTGGATGCCACCACAAGAAAACCAATTTGGAGACATGATGCTCTGGATGCTGATGGAATATGTGCTCCTGGTAAAGAAAATCTGTTCAGATTTTGATATGTAAAAAATTAAGAAAATTTGCAAAAGAAATTTTAGCCTGTATTTGTTATGAAATGTTAAAAAAAATGTTTTTTAAGACAACTCCGCAATAGCTGACAATATTTACGTTAACAGTGATTGTTTTGATACACAGTATTTGGTGTTTAACCAGTGCACCCGTAAGTGATGTCATATTGTAAGAGCCCTGCCTACTAAAAAATGTTGATGGAATGAAATATTCCCTTCGCTTTCAAGAATAAATTCCACTGATGTTTGTCCTGCTTAGACAAACAGATTGATATTTCTTTTTCAGGTGAAAAAGTAGAAAACAAACAGTTACTAATCAACAAATCTATGCCAACTGTGACAATGAGTCCTGTAGAGTCTGGAGGCCAGCAACCAGAGTACAGAGAAGTGCCTATCACGTAAGCACTGTCTGCTTTTTGCTGTCTGCCACCAGTTTCTTTAATTTTCATTCTCATTTTTGTGTTTAATTATAAATAATTGTGTCTTGCATGTTATTTTGACAATAAAAAGAAATCTCTTTTTAGATGCATAATCCATGTTTTCTTGTTTACTTTTTAAAGATGATTTTAGCAAAATTTCGGCTTGGTGCTTTTTATTTAGAAACCATGTCAGAGTAAATGTGCATTGTATTTAACTTTATTTATTACGTATTATTTGGGTTTCTTTTAATTTATAGGTACAAAGGCCTTGCACCATCTTACATAGAAAGAGTGATGATTTCCTCCAACCCAGAGGAAGCTTTTCTTATCAAGATTTTGTTAAGACAAACAAGAAGACCAGAGATTGGGGATAAATTCAGCAGTAGGCATGGGCAAAAAGGGTAAACATGGCAATTTTTAAAACATTTATTTACTAAGTCTTTGTTATTATTTTTTTCTTTTTGTTTATTGTATGAACTCATTCTGCCATTATAAAAGATAAAAATAAATTTTCTTAGAGTTACATCTATTAAATGTGTTGTGTTTACTTTTTATAGGGTTTGTGGTCTCATAGTGCCCCAAGAAGACATGCCCTTTTCTGAATTGGTATGTATAGCTAATTACTTTTCAATGTTGTTAAGACTTTAATTAATGTTGACTTGAGGTATAAAAGTATCTCATGTAAAGCTTATCAATCATAAATCAAAATTTCTTAAAGATTTGCATTTGTTGAATACATTTGAAGATTAGTGTCTGATGTTTGGTAAGAAATGTGCAATTAACAACTGCATTTATTTTTATTGCAGGGAATTTGCCCAGATATTGTAAGTGCAGTTTAGATTTATATTGTATGAAAATAAACAAGTTCTAAATTATAAATTTTTTTTGTCGTTTTAAGTGATTTGCATTTAAAGACAACAGATAAGTTGGTTTTTTACATAAAATCCAGTGGTTTTTTGATAGAATGAGATCCATTTTGATTTCCATGTAACCATAGAGCAGTATTTGGCACATAATTGTTATTATACATACTAGGCTTCTTTAAAAAAAAAACATTTTTTTCAGATCATGAATCCTCATGGGTTTCCATCACGTATGACAGTTGGGAAATTGATGGAACTTCTTGCAGGGAAGGCTGGCTTGCTGGATGGAAAGTTTCATTATGGAACAGGTATATAAGAACATTTGAGGATGCTATCTTCTAGTCTTTCATCAAAGAAGTTATTGCTATGTTTATCCATATTATCAAGAAGGCATCAAGGGGGTCACCCTCAAGAGTTCACAGTTGTCAAAAATGAAGCTTAGATTAGGAAATTACTCCACTTTAGGACTAAATTTTCTGAGCTGATTTTGGTTGAGCATTTTTGGTAATATATTCTTGATATTATGTAAAATGCCACATTTGTCTAAAGTGCACTTATGTTTAAATTTAGAGTTTTAACAATAGGTACTGTGGGTATGGTGTGGTATACCTAGATCCAAGATATTTATTGTTACATATGTTTGCATTTTTGTTGAACTGGTTATTATGATTTTTGACAGCTTTTGGGGGTGACAAAGTGAAGGATGTTTCAGAAGATCTCATCAGACATGGATTTAACTATTTGGGAAAAGATTATTTAACTTCTGGAGTGACTGGGTAAGGACAACCTGTACTAGTTTTTACAATGACCAATGCAAAAATTAAAAGGGAAAAGGATGTGATGTATTAGAATGTGTTAAGAGTCAAATCAAAGTTAATTCCAAATTAGTAATGGTGATATATATTTTAATGCACATGTATGTTTAGAGCAACCTAATAATTGTTTGTGAACATAAGTCAACCAAACTCATTAATTTTCATCTAGATGAAGTGTTCTGCTCTCAGTGTTGAACAGAACAGATGGAATTCTCTGGTATAAATGTATATTTTCAGTGAGCCCCTCACAGCCTACATCTACATGGGTCCTGTGTATTATCAAAAATTGAAACACATGGTGATGGATAAAATGCATGCACGTGCAAAAGGACCACGTGCTGTGCTCACCCGTCAGCCCACTGAGGGTAGGTCGCGAGATGGAGGTCTACGTCTTGGAGAGATGGAACGTGATTGTTTGATTGGCTATGGTGCAAGGTAAAAAATTATATATCTTCATCATATATTGTATTTCAGTTTTACATAAAAGCAGTCTTTTTGTAATACTTCTGTTGTAAACAGTCAGTGGAGAATTAATGAATCAAAAGTCAGTCAGTTTTATGAAAGTGAAGTAAAATCACCAGAGTTTAACAGTTTATTCTTGCTTGTTTCCAGTATGCTCTTACTAGAGCGCCTGATGATATCTAGTGATGCCTTTGAAGTGGATGTCTGCAACAAATGTGGTCTTCTAGGATATTCTGGATGGTAATGTTACTAATGCTTTTGGATAGAAGCAGTTGTATTGTCTAACATTTACCACACGGAAATTAATTGATCAGAATTTATGTGCTCTTACACTTATATACAGAAATTTAATTTGGTTTTCTGGATGGCAAATTTAATATTACTTCTACATTGGTAGTGAATTATCTTGTTTTTTCTAACAAACATCAATTACAAATGAATTTATGTGAGAAAATACAGGGTCATACAGCAGCCATCAACTTTGTATAGTTTTAATAGATGATTTAATGAATTATGAGATTTCATTTCTACTGTTTGAGTGTTGCCTACTGTACTATGACCATTTGTTCATATTTTTGAGTCAATTTATTATTTGTTGAAACTAAAGGAAAATTTCTCAATAATTCCAGGTGTCATTTCTGCAAATCGTCAACAGATGTCTCTCATCTCAAGATCCCATACGCTTGTAAACTGCTGTTCCAAGAGCTTCAGTCCATGAACATTGTGCCAAGGTTGACACTGAAGAAATACAATGAATGAAAACAGTGCGAGGTGTGTCATAGCAGAGAGACAGTGTTGGCAACACTGACGCAGTCAAATGCGTCAATTTATTGATACATGTCATCAATAATTGGAGAATGACAACAAAGAAATTCCTCAGCTGTGTTAAGTAGCAGCATTAGCTTTTAAAATATCAGAATTATTATCAGTGTGTGTGAGTGCATGCATTTCTGTGTATTTATGTGTGTGTTTGTTCAAATGCATAAGTGGTAATAAGTTTGGGTTTTTTTAAGCTAATGTTTGCTTCTTGTAAAAACCAAAAAACAGTGCTAAACAGTGCACAAAATAGACATAAGTATTAAGAACTGACAGCTTTGTTGAGACAAGTTTTTGTATTTAAAATTATATTAAAATTAGGTTGTTTATTTTATTTTGTTTCACCCAAGCATAGTGCCTTCAGCCAATAATCTATCAAGGTCACTTTGCCGACGGGAAGTTTGAGTATGAATAAATACATGATATTTGGGCTTTCATACACTTTTGACTTTGTATGCCAAATTATTGTGTTTGAATAAACAATGTCTCATGTAGCAGTGATAACAAAAGGTTGAGCACTTTTTTCTAGCAAGATGAACTCCATCAGTTATAGAATTTTGTAGGTAAATTGATAAGTTCATATAAAATATAAGAAAAATCATGTTGTTATTTGTTATGCAATAAAATATTCTGTTTTCCACCTGGAATATGGCTTTTTTATTGATCTATAAAAAAACATTCTCTTTAAAAACAATTGTAAGAAAAAAAAAATCCTTCTTGAAACGAAAATTAGCACTTTCTATCAGTAACAAAGAAAAGACAGGAAAGGCATATCCAGCATACTGTAGTTTTGTAAGGAGTCTCCTTAATTTTATGTATCTACATCATGAAAACGTCCAAACGAGGTGGTTAAACTGCTAGATTGCTCCAGATTGTTCATTTGTCACGCGTCGCACCTGTCACATTACAAGACATTCGTCCAATCACGTAAGGAACCGTCAGTTTGTCCGTCTCTGGCAATTGCGCATGCGTGTACTGTCTCTAACGTGGCAAGTAAACGAAGTTGTAGTTCTCTGGGGGATTAGCCACGTTTTTGGCTAAGTTGCAGCAAAAATGGGAACTCTAGAATGTTGTTTAGGAATCTTTATATCTCTACTATGCATAAGCTACATAAACTGTTACTTTGTTAGCATAGACGCTAACGCAGAAGAGTGTTATTTCGAGAGGGTAAAACCCGGCACGAAGATGAGCTTAATGTTTGAGGTGGCAGAAGGCGGATTTCTGGACATAGATGTGAAGGTAATGGCAAATCACCTTTAAACAAGGTAGTGCACATAATTAAGGTCCCGTGTAATATTGTTCCTACCATACATAGATGAACATGATCTGTTCTGTTCTGTTCTGTTCTACTACTGTAAGTATGAAAGCATATGTGGCCTGTTGGTGCAATCACTGACAATTACACTCAGTTCTGGTAGTGGGTGTATATTGCAATATTGCTATATTTATCTCTGAAATCCTGTTAAAAATCTGGAAGGCAACCATCCTTCATATTAAGGGAAACTTTAAGAAATGCGTTGTGAGTTCAGATCTATTATGAAATGAAAGAAAAAACTACCTTTGCATGTTTATTGTACAGTATGCTGTGCTTCTTTGACATATGTTGTGGAATATTACGAAAATTATTTTTAAATGAAAAATAGTATGTATTGAGTTGAAAATTAAACTAAAAATCCATATGGTCCCCTGAGAAGCTTTAACAACCATATGGTGTGATGTGTGAAATTGTGCCCTTATAAGATATGCAGGTATTTCATAAGAACAGCTTTTGTTATAGTTGAGAACAACTTCCATTGATTATGGATGTAGAAGTAAATATACTTTTAAAGCATTGCTCTCCCAATATGTTAATTCTGAATTTATATACACAAAATCTTTTTTTTATTTTGTTAGATCACTGGACCAGATGGAAGAGAAATTTATTCAGGAGATAGAGAATCAAATGGAAAGTACACCTTCTCTGCACATATGGAAGGCGTGTACAAGTATTGTTTTAGCAATAGGATGTCAACAATGACGCCCAAAATTGTTATGTTTTCACTAGATGTAGGGGATCAGCCTGGTGGAGAGAAGGATAATACCATGGAGAGTGATGGTAAGATATTTTGGAGCCAACAATCTCCAAAATTCAACCAAATGGTGATGGGTAATACTCATGACAACTTCAGCGACTTAAAGGTTGAAGATGTTACTGGTTCCTTTAAGACATTAGTGCCTTTGGTATATCCTTATTCTGATTAAATATTGGACTAATTTTAGTAGTTTTGAATGCCATTGTTTCTGTAAAGTGAAATTAATTGTTTCACCAAAAGATGATGAGGAAACAGAGGATGATGTAGAGGGAGCTCAACTCAATGCAACAAAACTTGAAAGAGGACTTCGAGACATAAGTAAGCTAGAACGGGAAATAAACACTTCTCTTCTTAAGGGTATATTGATGTTTAATGTTGGGACATCATAAATGTATCATGGTCTTTATTATTATTATTATTATTTGTAAGGGAGTTCTGCTGGCATCGTCTGTCTCCTCCAGTCTTTTTCTTGGTTTGGTTTTTTAAATTTTTATTAGAAAATCAAATGTTTAATTAAATATATAAATGAAAATATACTGTGACAAAGTGGTGGGAAAGGGAACATGGTTATGGTCATTGTCATCATCTACACTCATTTACCTTCAGACAAAGTATGCTGAATGCTAGTATAGTCATAATAGACCCTTTGTCCTTTTGCTAATATTACACCCCTTAGCATCATTTAATACGTTGAATGCTAGACACCATTTGTCTTGTATAAGAAAATTAGTGGTTCGTGGGAAGTGTGTGCATTAAAAGGGTGTGGTTTGATACTAATGTGTTTGTAGACTTAGCATAGTTTAATTATGTTGTTGTGTTGAAAGTTGTTTTAGTGAAGTATGAATTATGCACATTGTTTCCTTTGCTGATCAGCTGCTGTTTAATTGCTTTGTTGCTTAATAGAACGAATTGACTTTAATTGCTTAACTTGAATCCGTGATAAAAAAATTAAACTGACATAGAAAATGTCATTGTTTGAATTAAACATAAATTTGTCTGAATTTTTACATTTAACTTGTCTTTTGTCAGAGTTTAGTTGTTTTTAGAGTTTTAAGTGTTTCATTTAATACTATAATAGGTTCTTCCAAAACCAACTTAAATCCATTATGTCAATGTCTCACAAGATGCCCTTTTCAGATAATATGGCTATAGGTGTCTTTACCTAGAAGTGCACAATAAGACATTGACATAATGGAGCACTAATAAGTGTGATTTTAAGCCTTTGTTGTAAGAACCTATTATTAACACAGCTGATAAAATTCTTGGCTTCTTTGCTTTGATTTGATATTTTCATTCTTATTATGATTTATTATTTATAGTATTACCCAGTCTTTTTTTCATCTGGTTTATAATCTTAATTTGTAGTGTTTAGAAACTTTGTGATTTCTCCTAATTCTTTGCCTCCTTCCACCTCCCATCCTTCCAGCCAATGAAAATAAACTGGTGGATATGATTAGTGAACTGTCCACTAGCCTAACAGGGGTAAAGCATGAGCAGGATTACATGGCTCTGAGAGAAAGAGTTCACAGAGCAAGTAAGTAGAATGGATCCGTGGGTGGGGGCAACCATTAAGGCGGGGGGGGGGGGGGGATGAGTTTTCTGAAGGTAAGTGATGGCAATGTTACGGTTCCCCTGCCACAACTTTGGGACAGTAAGTTCAGCAACAGGCAAATGGTTCCTTTATTTCAGCACAACATACTAAACTAGAAGAAATGATTAATGAATTGTCTACTGCCTTAACTGGTGTTAAACATGAACAAGATTACATGGAAGTAAGAGAAAGAATACATAGGGCAAGTAAGTATTGAGAACCAGGAAAGGAGAATATTATCCTGATTGATAAAAGGAAAATGTGATCTTTATTTCATTATGTAAGATCAGTCATGTTAAATGGTCGTTGGGTTGGGTCAATTTCCTCTCTGAATAGTGATTTTGTTGAAAAAGATTGTTTGGAAATATTTTTATGTACTGTGACTAGTTAACAAAATTATTTCTGCTTTTTTCATCTGTTTCAAATTGAAAACTTTTGAAAGAACAAAGAACTGGCAGAATTTGTAATCCAAGTTTATATTCAAAATGGCCTGCTTTATGAGTTATAAGTTATTATCTGTTACAGAAGTAAAAAAGATAAGTTGTAATAATGCATTTGTCTAACTGGTCTTCCATTTTCATTTCAGTTAATGACAACACCAACTCCAGAGTGGTTTTATGGTCTTTCTTTGAAGCCTTGGTATTAGTAGCAATGACATTAGGACAGATTTATTACTTGAAAAGATTCTTTGAAGTTAGAAGGGTTGTGTAATGTTTTTTTAAGGTGTGAGTAATATATATTTGCCATCAAAAGGATTGAGGAAGAAAAGCCTGTTGAGAAAAAAAAGGGAGTTTGCTCAGGTTCAAAGAAGGGTATTTGGATACCACCATTAAAAGTCTGCAGCTTCACAATGTGTTATTTTGTGTATAATTTACATGTTTAGACAAAAAAATGGTTCATGTATTAATGAAAAGTGATTAAGGGAGGGGGGGTGCTTACATGCAAAGAACTCTTCCGTTGAGTTAATTGTATGTTAATTTCATTCAAGCCTCTGCTTTCTGTGTTATTTTTCAATTTTATCACATTTGTAAATAAGAGTTAAAGTGAATTAAAAACTAAGAATTTAAAAAAAAAGTCACTTCACATTGGTATCCTTGACTTTTGTAAATATAGTATATATATATTTCTTTTACATGTTTAAGTAACAATGTTGGTTTTCAAAGGGTTGTTTAGTGTAATCAGATAGAAGTCAATTAGTTTTTGTACCATCAACAGTTTTGTGGTCTTCCTCAACGGTCACTTATATAGTATTACTTCTTTTGTCATTTCCTGAACATTCTTCAAAAATTAACTGTAAAAATAAGTGTAATACAGATTTTCTTACCTTTCTGAAATAGCAAAGTGAATTTCAAACTTATAACTTGAGATACCAGTGATTGTTTTACAAATAAACAATACAAAACTAGTATTGGTTTTTATTTTATTTAATTCTGTAAATGTTTTACTCTATATAAGTACATCTGCATATTAGCAACAGATCAAGTTCTGGGAGTCGATTATTCTATGCATTACACTTCCAAAAGACCTGAAACTGTATTGTCAGTTGTACCAAGCCAATGTCTCATTAAAATGTTAGTCTTTACAGTGTGGGGGGTCCTCAGTGCTGTGGTGCCACTTTCCATATCCTAAAACTTTGTGCTCTTCTAGAAACTTTTCAATTTTATTATTTGCAAGTTTTGCTTCCTCTAGAATTTTACCATGGACACTTGTTCTCCACCTTATATTTGGTGGTTTTGCACCTACTAGTCTTTCATCAATTTTATCATAGTCTATTCCTGGGAAGAAATCTGGAACTAATTCCATGGGTTCAAAACCAGTTATTCCACAGTCTATAACAGCATTGAAGAAAGCATTTTCCTGAAAATAAAATCAAGTGATCAAAAATAATGCACAGACAGATAAAAGGATGTGCTGTGTGTGGTAATAAAATTATTACATGTAACAGGAACACCAAAAGAAATGTTTTAAAAATTGATCACAAATAACACCTTCATTTATCCAGGCTCACACATTGTACAAAGAAACAGCCAAGAGTATCAAAATCCACAATTTCTTTGATTAAAAGTGTAATCAACCAGCTACAGAGTAAATATATCAATGCTACGATAAGTCCAACACACATAAAACCTACCTTCACAAAAGTTGATATTCTATTTGTGTTGCCATCTGGATTTTGCACCTGAAAATGTAAGCCAGTGATCCCAGCCATAGCACACCTGTGGGCAATCACCCGGCCTATATTAATAGCTGCTGCTACATTTTTTGAGCTAGAAATAAAATTGTGAAAGGATTTTTTTTCCAGTTTTTTTAAATGTACAAAACAAAGGGGTATCAAAAACCATTCAACTTCATAACTAGTTAATAAAATAGTTAATCAAGTCGACATTTATCTTATCAAAAATGCTTGTTTTACATCAATCTTAATTGTCAATGATTAAGAATTAAGCATAAAGAAGATAAAACAACATATGACCCTCTGTGTTCAATTGGACCACTTTTTTCCTGAAAAATCTTTCACCCTGCACTTTAGCAATAACTTCAAAAGGTAATTACTTGTTCATGTGCTTTTTGATGGCCCATTCTTTAGTTGAAGCTGTTATGAGCACTTTTCCTGAGGAATGTTCAACCCAAGCCCATGTGTTCGCAGCACTGAATCCAAAAAGAAGCCTGAAAAATGTACATATATATCACAAAACCACAAGTTATTTAAATTTTAACTGGATGAAATAACACTCACCTGCTAAGTTTGAAAGTACTGCTCAATGTTAAACTTGTCTTAAATTGGCTAAACAAAATAGGGTTGACTTGTTTTATTCAAATTTGGGGGGGAAATGATGAAAATGTTGTGATTTGGCTTAGCGAAAAAAAAAATAGCTAGCACTATCCCAGCAAATATGGTCAAATGAGAATAGATATCATTTCTATTCAAAATGAGCAATTGTTTACTACATGAATCATAGATTCCTCTTTTATGTCAAAAATTTAATAAAAGACAAATATTGCAGATAAGTATGGGTTTTGAGAAAAAGAGATTACTAAATGAAAACGTGTGCTACTTTCAGTAATGAATATTAAGAACCTACCTGTGATAAAACTCCTTAGTGGGATACTGTAATATCCACCCTTTTCTTTTTTTAGCAATTCCCATGAACTCTAAGTTTCTGAAATAAAACAGTCCACTTGAATTTATTCAATTTCTCAAATCATCTCTAACAATATCTTAAGTATCTCTAACAATATCTTAAGTGTGTATGAATATTCCTTTATTTGTCTTTCTTCGTGTTTTTAATACAATAAAGCTTTTTGAGTAATAAATTGTGCACACAAGAGTCAATCTACATGTAATCTGCCATCAAGTGATGTATAAAATAAATATTGAAAAAAACCTTGGGTTTCTGTTGACAAAATTGGGGTTGACCATCATATCATTTTCTGATAATGTTTCCTCCTCACTTGGTTTCTGTTGTGGTTCATCCTCACTGCCAGGAATATTAGTGCAATATGTGCATCTGGTGCAGTGTGCTGCGAAAAATGAAATGCGAAATGCGTTATATTACATGATGTATTTCTCAAATCAATATGGTAACTGCAGACACTGAAACTTGTACAAGTCTACAGTAAGTGAAACTTATGAAGTTTCTTCAGCTTAGTACAAGAACCTGCCACTGAGTTAAACAGCGACAAAAAGCAGAGAAACGCGCAAGTAAAACATTACAACACACCTCCTAAGTATCCTGTGGCATTTTGCTGAATGCCAAGCTGGCTTGCTCTCCTTAAAGCTCTTGGGAATTCCTTGCAAATGGCTTGAGATACTAGGGACAACATGGCATCTACACAGGAGACCACTTCACCGGAAGTCTCTATTTGATCACTTAAGGCAGACCACAGTTTCGAATTATATGGAAATTATCATTGATTTAAACCGAGGCACTATTTAACATAATTCTTAAAAAATGTTGTTTTATATTTTAATTTGTAAGTTTGCTCTCTACTGCATGCAATTCAGCAATTTAGAACTAAAAGTTATGGTGACAAGAGCATGACCGGAAGTCAATACATTTTAAGCCTCGCTGTCAGTGGTATACACGTGCGAAGGAAAACATTCAGCGAAAGAAGCATCAGGTGAGATGTGTTATTGTGACAATCGGCATAAAAATACTTGAAATCAAATTGTTGAATACAAACATTGTACCATCCTATTTCACTGTTTTTTATACTCAAAAGCTCATAATATGTTCTGCTGAGTACAGGGCGGACACATCCTATATTGTTAGTTACCAGTAGTGTCGATCACTGTGTGCCAAACGTTGTAGCCACAAATATGTTTTTTTGCGAGAATATAACCATATTGAAGCAAGTGGTGCTGCTGACAGGTTTTTAAAATATATTTTATATTATATTATGTAACATTTCCCTTAACCAAAGCTTTCAACAAAGTTAAATTACATTTACATGATACTATTTTATTGTTTATTTAATTTGTTTTGATTTATTGATCGATTGGTTTATTTATTATTATTAGTAGTAGTAACCAGTAGTATTAGTATAATTGAATTGAATTAAATTTAATCTTTTTGGATATAGAACTGTAACTTTATTATTCAGCTTCTTAATTTGTTAGTGAATGTAGTATCCTACTACTGGTAGTGGTGTAATATTTTTGACCCATCTAAGAAAAAAAAACTGCATGCATGCTACATTGTTCGTAATCTCAAACATGAGCAGCATCTTTATATTATTGTGTATCTGTCATTTATTCAGGATGGATGAAGTCGATGATAGAAGATTGCTGGTTCAGTTTAAGAGTGAAGATGGAGAATCTACAGGGTCCCCATTTGACCTACCCATAAACATCACAAAAGACAAACTGCAACTGATCTGCAATGCACTTCTTCAACAGGTAAAATAAATGTTCAGATTTGATTGTTGCCAGAGGCAACAATCACAACACTAAATGTCTAGGTTATAAATGCATCCTTTTCACATCAGGCAGTGCATTTTTTTTTTTTTTTTTTTTTTTTTTTTTTTGTATTAGTATATATTATGCGAAAAGGGCAATTGGGCAATTCAATTGAATTGATAACTTTTACTTGATAAATGTTTTGATAACATATGTAGCCTTAGATTTCTTTGATTCTTTGATACTACAGTTTTGAATGAATATTCCATACATTGTTACCTATTGGTATTTTGCAAGGTTTTTTTTTCAATCAGCATGAGATTTTATGAATATTTAAAGAATCATTGAAATGAGCTCTTTTTTCTGTTCACTTTTCTACATGTACAATATTTCAAGCCACCAAAATGAATACTTTCAGGAAGAAGCAACACCATACTCATTTTTTGTAAGTGATGTAGAAATCACAGAGACACTAGAAAAGTCATTAACAAAAGACACATTAGAGGACACAGAGAAAGTTGTGGAAATTGTCTACCAGCCACAAGCTGTATTCAAAGTACGAGCAGTTACAAGATGCACCAGCACCATTGAGGGGCATGCAGAAGCTGTGATATCAATAGCATTTAGTCCCAGTGGAAGGTAAAGATTTTATATCATTCTTGTGATTTACTTACTCATTATTGTCAAGTCCAAATTTTGAACCAAGCAATAGTAAATTTGTCATATTTTTTCATTCATTAAGTTGAAATTCCCTTTACTAAAGTAAGCACAGTTAGGTACAATGAAAAGAAAAATTGATGGTAATTATAATGCTGTGTCATCCACTTACAATCATACAGAATGGATTTCGATAAAAACATTGTCTAAATTTTGGTCTTTCAGAAAATATTGCATGTTTTATATGTAACAAGTTGTAATTGTTGATATTCATAAAGTTCTAAAGAGACATTTTATTTTTCCATACTCAAGGTACTTAGCCAGTGGGTCTGGGGACACAACTGTTAGATTCTGGGATCTTACTACAGAGACTCCTCAGTTCCAGTGTAAAGGTAACATTTGGGTTTTGATTTATTCTTTATTCTCTCTGAAGGAGTTCATGTTTTACCGAAGTTTGTGGTTTTATTTAAACACTGTATTTATTATTATTGAATGTCTGTATGTTAGTCTTTAAATATGCCTTATAGGCAATTTAATCATTTAACTGGTGAATTCTGTGTTGTGTCAACATTCTTTTTGGTAAAAGTAATTGAACAAACACTATCTGTTGATTTATGATTATTGTTCTTTAAAAGTCATGCATAGTAGTTACACTTTTAATTGGTTTGAAAAAGGGATGATGTTGAGATATATAGTTATCCATATAATATGATTTATAGTTTCAAGGTTTCCAACCATGCATAATAGTCACATTCTTGTTATTTATATTGAAATTTATTCTTTTAGCTCACAAACATTGGGTGTTATGTATTGCATGGTCTCCAAATGGCAAAAAACTAGCATCAGGTTGTAAAAACAGTCAGGTGAGTCAAAGCAGCATGCAAACTTGAAAAATTCTGACCATTTTCTGGAAGACCCAAGTTGGCTCTGTCTGCCCCTGATTATACTAGAGACAATGAAAAACCTAAAAGGATATATCTGATTGTGTTATGATCTGTTTTAGCCTGGAGAGCTTGATTGCTTTGCACAATGTCACATCTAACACAATGACATGTTAACTATGCCAAAATGTGTGAGATGATATATAAAGATAGTGTAGGCATGTGTAAGATAAATCCTGCAGACATAATTGTTTACATGTTGTTTAGTAACTTCCAACTTTTCTACGTTGATTTAAGAAGTAAAAAAAAGATATTTAGGATGTTTTAGCAAAATTACAACAAGTAAATACTGAAACTTTGGCTTTGTTCTTTGAAAGAGACTTCTAATTTTTATAAAAAATATAGGTCTGTATTTGGGACCCCTCTTCAGGGAAACAACTTGGAAAGACTTTGATTGGTCACAGGCAGTGGATCACATGGTTGACATGGAAACCTTTACATTTGTGAGTTGAATGTCTAGTGATTTATGATTCCATTTCAGATACTGAAACTGTTGCCCCATATTATGAAAGCTGTATAATGGTTATTTAATGTTGTTGGTTTTGCTAAGTGCAGTTAACATTGAAGACTATTGTATTGCAGATTGTATAGACTTATTTATGACTTATGTTCCATTTTAAGAGTAGATGTGGTTTATATTTATGCTGGCTTGAAATTGTTTAAGAATAAATTGAAATGTTTGTATTCATTTTCAGAGATCCAGAAAGCAGGTTTCTTGCTAGTTCATCAAAAGTAAGTAGTGTATAAAAAAAAGTATTGTATTATATGTTAGTCAAGTTAGCTGTCTTATACTTTTTGAGTTGTTTATATTTCTAATTTGTTTTGTTACAAGAAATCTTTCATAATATTAAATGTAACAAAAGGAAATTACCATAATTTTAACATATAAATTTTGCCTATCTTGCACTTTCAAGGTTGTTATGCAGTACACTTATGATGAATGAAAATAAGATTTAATTTGTTTTTACTTTTTATTCAGGATGCCACAATTAGAATTTGGGACACAGTTCTATGCCAATGTAAGCTTGTCTTGTCTAGTCACCTACAGTCTGTCACTTGTATTAAATGGGGAGGAACAGATCTCATCTACTCGGGCTCACAAGACAGGACAATAAAAGTTTGGAGGGGAGAAGATGTATGTTTTTTATGAAATTTGCACCATTTATATTTTTTTCTTGGTCAATAGTAAATGGATATTTCTTTATCTCAGTTAAATGGGTAAATATAACTACCATTTCCAAAAATTAAATCCAAACAGCTATTATTTTTTATTCTTCTTATTGTTGCTTAGTAAAAATAATGCATCTGTTATGTAAAAATGTTTAAAAATTACAGTATTTCATCTCTCAGATCAACCACTTTTCTTTTTCTTCTTTTAGGGTGTGTTATGTAGAACATTACAAGGTCATGGTCACTGGGTGAACAACCTTGCCCTCAGCACAGACTATGTCATCAGAACTGGCTCCTTTGACCCTTCCACAGCCACTGTAGTACCAAGAGATATTGATGACANATGTTTAAAAATTACAGTATTTCATCTCTCAGATCAACCACTTTTCTTTGAGGCCAGCAGATAACCTTTCTTATCTTTTTCTTCTTTTAGGGTGTGTTATGTAGAACATTACAAGGTCATGGTCACTGGGTGAACAACCTTGCCCTCAGCACAGACTATGTCATCAGAACTGGCTCCTTTGACCCTTCCACAGCCACTGTAGTACCAAGAGATATTGATGACATTGGTAGTATCATTTGGATTATTTATTTTATTTTATTTTATTTTATTTTATTTTATTTTATTTTATTTTATATATATATATATATTTTTTTTTTTTTTTTTGGGGGGGGGGGGCAGAATTTACTAACAAGTGGTATAATGAAAAAGAAGTTGCTGATAATTATAGCACCGAGAAAAAGCATTATATTGTGAAAAAGATCCATATATTGTTTTAATGATAGGGAACCTGATTGTCATATCATAGAATGATTGTCATATTCATTGAATTGATTGGGGACATATATTGCTGATATATTATAGGATAGCATTTCAAGTCTTTTCCTTGTTTGCAGTTGAAGAACTAAAGAAAAAAGCTTTAGACAGATATAACAGTGCAACAGTGAGTAAAATTTTATATTTATTATATCATATTTAAGCAAGAAGTGGTGTATGTTTTTAAAAAATGAAAGGTAATTATAAAACCATAAGTTTCAAAAATAAAAAAGGAGTCTATAAAGAGTTGGGTGTTTGAATGAAAATATCAATTAAAAGTTAAAGACGTTAATTTACATGTTTGCATGCCTTTAAGAAACAATAGGGAATGACAACTGTGAAACCACCATGAAATAAAGTAAAAGTGTTTTTGAATAAAATATTTGGCAAACTATAAAATTTATGAAAATATTTCCTCCATTCTGTTTCTTAGAATGCCATACCAGAAAGATTGGTATCAGCTTCAGACGATTTTACCATGTTTCTTTGGCAACCAGAGACAGAGAAAAAGCCACTCACAAGGATGACTGGTCATCAGCAGCCAATCAATGAAGTTCTATTTTCTCCTGATGCAAGGTTAATTGCCAGTGCATCTTTTGACAAGTCTGTGAAATTATGGGATGGAAAAAATGGAAAGTAAGTGAATTTAGTAAAGTGTAGGAGGAAAAGAACTGCTATCAAGTTAGGTATATGGCATGCATGGTAAAACAATATTGAATGTGAGGGGTACTTTTTTTCTTAAACCAAGCACAACTACTGCACAAGAAATCAAGTGACGGGTTAACATTTCATCTGATCAGCGTTGTGAAAGGGGTATATCTTAAAATGGCTAGTTATGACACCAAATCAAACTAATTGTATCAGCTTTACTCTGACCTGAAATTATTTGAAAAAAAAAGATGATTCATCAACACCAATCAGGCCTCTTACTTTGTATTTAAGACTAAAAAGAATAATACATGGTTTTCCCCTTTTCCAAATCCAAACCCACACATGGGATGTAAATCCTTGTGAGTAGAAGTATCTTTCATGTAATTTTTTTTTACTGTACTTGTGTTACTTGTTAGATAAATTATTGATAAAAAACAATGACAGGAGTTAAGGGACATTGTTAGTATATACTTTTTATTTTTACTAAATGTTTAAAATGAGTAGGTGTTATTGGGTCAGAATACTGTGTAAAAGAATGCTATTTGTAATAAAACACAAAACAGTTATTTATGAGCTTCTTTTTTCCCACCAATTTCAGACATGGATTTGGTGTTAGATACCAAAAAAAAGGCAGAATTTAAGGTTTTAGAAATATACAGGACTTGGATAACTTATCTGCACCTTTACTGACCACAGCTGTGGCAGCATATTTTTGCTGCTTGATTCCTAAAATGCTGACAGTCTGTTAAACATATTGATAGCAGCTTGATATCTGTCTTTTCACATATTTAAATGGACTTGTTTTGATACTTGATCACATTTTTTTTCAGGGCTGGGGAAAAAAACTGGCACTGATGATAGATAATTCTCATAAAATTTCATCAAAAAAAGTCACTGCCATTAGCCATTAAAAAAGTTTTTTCTAAAATAAAAATTTGGCTGCACTCATAGTAAAAAAGGTTAGGTGTGAATGTGTGTTGCAAGTGGCAAGAGAGAGTAAATATTAAAGATTATTTGGTTGTATTTCCATTCCTGTGGTTAGGCACCCAAGTTCATAGAGTGCAATAGCTCTGCAGATGTGATGGTATCTGGTGCTTACATTTAACCAAAATGGTGAAAAATTCATGAAATGTAAATTGGAAAATAATTGTCATTAAGTCTCATTTGATTTCCCTGTAGATGAAAAGGATAATACTACGTGATCTAATGTTGTGCTGTTTGCATTAATGGATATGTGAGAAGGCTTCTCAGAAAACAAGCCAAATGTCTGGTTTATTTAGTTATGATGGGGATGAAAAAGTGTCATGGATATGTATTTTTCTCAAATTTAACTGCTCACACATTGTCATTTGTGTATGGAATTTTTTTAAAAATTATCTGAAAATAGAAAATGCCCTGTAAAAACATCATAGGAAACAAAAAAAGTAAATGCCATTGCCATCTCTTTTATTGATGTAAAATGCCAGACATAGTATCCTTTGGTGCTTTGTATTTTATCCCCCCATAGGGATTGGTTGTTTATCAGCTTTAGTCTTTGATGTTGTGATCCCCATTTTGATCTGGTACTAAAATCAATAGACATATCCTCTCTATTTCACATTTAGTGCACTAGATCATAGAAGTAATTGTATTAACTCTGAATCATCCTTTTATCTTTGGGCCTAATTGCCAGTTTTATCCCATTTTGGGATCGATGTAGTAATAAGCAAAGGATTTTTCATTTGCCCGTTTAATCATTTAGTTGGAAGTGGGATCTCTGATCTCTGTCCTTCTTTCAACCTACAGCATATAGCTGATTGAAATCCTTATCCACGACCACACAAATTCACCCAAAAATTTTTTTAATGATGAATATGGTGATTGGGAGGTTGAATAAAAGGATTCTTTGAAATGATTTCCCCCTGCAATAGAGTTGGTAATTGAGAAGCTTTTGAAAAAACATGTTCTCTAAAATATTTTGATATTGTGATTAGAATTCCTCAGCGGTATACAGCTTTTGAAGTTGATCTCTATGAAGAGGAAACTTTGACTTTAGGGGGAAATTGGGAGACACTTTCAGATGCTTCATCAAAGGATATTGATTCCAACTTAATTTTGTTTTGACAGAGAAAATTGAAGAGATTCTGCAGGCTTAATAATTTCCCCTTAGCTGAAAAGGCTGTCAGTATATAAGTGCATTTTCTGATGCAAGGCCAATCAATTTTGAAAGATTGACATTTCTTGGGAGTTAAAAAACCAATTTTTTCTGGGTAATTCTTTGATTGCTTATTAATGATAGTTTTTCTTTGCAAATGGATGGCTTTTGTGATAGCCTCCAGTGTTATTTGTCTGCAAAACGCCAAAAGTACTTAAACAATATCTACCATCCATTGGCAAGTCAGAGTCCCGGTAGAACATTTGTTTCCAAATTTTCCCATAATGATGATTAATCCAAGACATCTGTCATTTTTTTTATCTTCAGAATTGATATTATTTTTTACATAAAAATGGCATTCCATAGTATAGACTGACAGCTAGTATATTTTAGTACATTCTTCTATTTTTTATTTGCAAATAATGACTTAAAGAAATATTAACATATTTGCCCTGAAAAGGTAACAAGAAGCTTTGCTATTCACAAAAGTTAATTAAGGGTATCTATAAAAGATAATAATGTGGTTTCTCCTATTTTTCAGCATAAATTTAAAGTTTCAATTTTTATATCATGTGGAAATTGTATTTATTAGATCTGATAACCATTTTAAGGCAGAGTATTTGCTTTTTCTTTTTTTACAAATTCAAACTTGATCACTTAAAAATTGGTAGAAGAAAATAAATATGCAAACACCTGCTTAGCTTAGTACACTCTTTGGGTTTTAATATAAATGCACCCAATGAGCTTTCCATTAAGTGGATTCTGGTTAACCAGTCATATATTTTTGGAGAACTAGACAGTCCTCTTCAGCAAACAACTAATCCTTTAAAATATTGATGTGAAGTGGATTCCCTGAAATTTGAGTGTGTTGAAAGGTCCATCTTCCATTGGCATAATACAAAAATAATGTAAAATTTCATGCTTTAGATTCTAGGGCATATAGCTAAATATTTAATTATATTTTATCTATATATCCAAAGAATTATCTGCTTAATTATTAACATGCTTTGTAGCACCACAAGTGTGTCATATAATAGGGTGTATCTGGTAAATGTTTGCTTTGTATTTTTAGCTTTCTTTGTTGATTGACAAAAATGTTAATTTGTAACTCGGTGTTATGCAATTTATTTAGGACTTGCCCTCCTACAATTTTCAGTCAAAATGAATGAAACCATGACAACCCTTATTTGTCATTCTGCACTTTGGTATTGATCACCTGCATGCAGTGATAGTTATGAAAAAAGGTTTACTGTAGGATTGTGTCATAAAATGTGATTGTAACTACTTGAAAAATGGCTGAAAAAAGACCATCAAATTTGGTACACAGGGCTTTTATGAGCTTGCAAATGATGGGATGAGCTAGCAGATGCCTCAACTTGTTCAACTTGGCCTACTGTTCAAAATCACAAGAGGCCATGTTGTGAAAAATGTTGTAAGTCATGAGAATGGGTTGAGCTAAGGATTTTATACATTTGATCACAGTAAACAGAAGATTTGCCTGAATTTTATGTGTTCTTTTGGTGTTGCCTTTGTAATGTTATGTCATCCCATGCTTTCCATTTCCCTTCTGACAAAGCAGTACTCGAGGGGAAAGAGGGAGTATTAGACCCCATTCTCATAGATTAGATCGACCTACATTGGATCGACCTAACTCCCTGGGGGTTCACGCTAAATAGCTGTCAGCCGGGCGGACACGAAAGTTAATTACCCCTTAAAGCTTGTAGTAGGCGGGGACGGACACTTAAGGGGGATTATCTGACAGTAATCTAGTGAGACTCCCCGCGGTGATAGATCGATCTAAAAGTTGTGAGAACAGAGCCTTAGACCCCATTCCCAGAGATTAGATCGATCCAAACTAGATCGACCTAACTCCCTGGGGGTTCACGCTAAATAGCTGTCAGCCGGGCGGGCACGAAAGTTAATTGCCCCCTTACAGCTTGTAGTAGGCGGGACGGACATTTAAGCCGGATTATCTGACAGTAATCTAGTGAGACTTCCCACAGGGATAGATCGATCTAAATGTCTGGGAATACGCCCTTATTTGCCATTGAGAAAAGGTCTAATTTCATTTTACTTCTTATCAGTACCCACATTGAAGTAGACATGATAATTACACATAGGCAATTTTGAAATAGATATATTTGATTATAAAGTTAAAGCATATTTGTTAAACTGTATTATTTTTTACTCTAGATATATTGCATCATTAAGAGGGCATGTCCAGAGAGTGTATCAGATTGCTTGGTCAGCCGATAGCCGGTTGTTGTGCAGTGGGAGTGCTGATTCTACACTCAAAGTTTGGGACGTCAAGAATAAGAAACTACTCCATGATCTTCCTGGACATTCTGATGAGGTATACCTAAATATATGTTTACATGTTTAAAAAACAAATTGTAAAATTCTTTTTCAGGTAATTTTTTTTCTCATTTTAGTTAAATGTTAATGATTTTAATTAGTAATATATGCAAGGTAAACATTTTTAAATCAGTATCAATTCACCAGCTCTTATGGTCCATTATTGTTATTGTTTTGAGATATCTTTTGGATTTTTTAGCTTTTTTTCGAAGGCAAAAAGTAATGACACATTTCTATCCAACTTATGACAGTTTTTCTTAGTACGTACAGTCTCAGTAGATTATGCTACTAAAATTTTTAATTATAGGGAGTCTTACTAATGGTTTATGATCTAAAAATATCAACAAAAGTGCACTTAAAGCATGAAAACATGAAAAAGCAAAAGACAATTATTAAACTGATAAAAGAAATTTAATTTCAACAAGAGGAGCCATAGATTCCATTGAATCTGTTAACACTTCCTTTTCTCCTGAATGGCTGTCTATACTGAGAGTTTTGTGAAGCTGTAGCTGTAGGTACTTGAGAAATCATTGTCATTTAGCCTGCTCCAATAGCATATATGTCACAATTTGACTGGAATTGCTACCTTGCTCTTTCTCTGCAGTAAATAGTCTCCATTTAATGTCAATATATCATTTTTTTAGGTGTACGCTGTAGATTGGAGCCCTGATGGACAGAAAGTTGCAAGTGGGGGAAAAGATAAAGTAATGAAAATGTGAGTATGGTTTGGAGTATTGACAGGAGTTTTGAATTTTTTTTCAACAGCATTACACAGTTTAAAATGCAGATGGTGTAAGTGTGTGTGTTTATACAGATCAGCTGCTGCAGCATATATTCATGTCATCATTGTCACTATTGCTGCAGACTCATGGGAAGGGGAGGGAGGTTTTCCTTTTGAGCAGAAAAGGTTCACTCTGAATCAAAATTTGATCTAGGCTTTATTCCATTTCTCAAGTTGGGCCAATAATGGGGGAACCAGTCCACTATTTTTAGAAAACATTTCTTTTGTTTCTGCCACTGTTGCAATTTCCGTTTAGCAAATACTCAGTTGTTCCGTCACTGTCAGGCTATATCATAAATTCTTTCCAGAATTTTTGACTGTATAACCATACATTTTACTGATACTTCTTACATCTGTTTCTTTAATTTTTTTCTTCAGTCACAAATGTACTTTACATGTTACAGTAGCAAACAACTGCATCTGTCAGTGCCACAGGAGTGAAAGCCATGTGCATCTGTTGGTAAAATAATAACTTATAATAGAGGACACTGATTTGCTTAAATTATTTCTTAATATATTCTGGAATACACACTGGGCCAAGATATCTGAAGAATGTACTTTTCCTTAAATTCTGCCAGAGTCATTCCTAGTGCTTAGATAAAGGCCCAAGTTTGAAAGTGGGACTGCACAGTCAGATTATCATTTCAAAGTGTGCTGTTTTATAATTATTCAAAGCAGAATTTTACCTTTTTGTGCAACCTTGTTTCGTGTCAGCATCTTCTCTATTTTGCATGATTATATCTTTAAGATGTATAATTAATTATTGTCACCAAACCCTACCAAATGCCACCAACAGTGTTTGAAATAGTATAATAAAGAGAAATCCCTTAGAGTTTTGTTACATTATTTCCCTAATATATATATATATATTAGGGAAATAATGTAACAAAACTCTAAGGGATTTCTCTTTATAAAGTAATGAAAATGTGAGTATGGTTTGGAGTATTGACAGGAGTTTGAATTTTTTTCAACAGCATATATATATATATTGATATATATATTCAGTATAGTATGCTTTACGGACTGGAGGGAAATAATTTTTGCACAGATTTTGTACTTGCTTTCTGTGCTGTACATATCATAGAGAAAATAAGGCTGCATTCACATCGAGTTGAGCCATGGCTCTACAAAGCCACGAATATGGCGGGGGTTTGTCCCTGTGGGGGTACAGTCATTAAATCTCGGCTCCATTGGGACGACACATGTTGAGGCGTGTGTGAGGCGGAGAGACTATTAAAAGATTAGGCAGTTTTCCTTTCATGTACGTCTGCCATATTTAGGTCTTGGTTTTGTAGAGCCACGCATGGCCTAAGTAGGTCAAATTTGAAGAAAGTGCAGTTTAAAAGCCTTTTTCTGCTTTCATTTATAAGTTTTTTTTTTTTTTTTTTTTTTTTAAGAAATAAGTATAAATAACTTATGCATGTTACAGGACATTCACCCTGGCTTCTTTTGCATCTTTAATTTTTGTACTATAACAGGTTGTCTCCTATCCAGTCTTGATTGAGAAACTGAGGGTACTTTTGTCATCTTCAGCTGTTTTTGTTTGAATACTTGCCAGCATATGTCAATTTAAAACTAAGAAAATGCATACTAACGTAAAGTTAGAGTGGTGTTTTGTTTTGCAGTCGCTAATTTTAACAGAACCATAATTTTTTTCTTCTTGTCTGTTTCTAACAGAACCAAATTTTTTCTAGTCTGCTTCTAAATATGTCTGAGTCCTTGATTTTATTTACAAAGCACATTTAGAATGAGAAAACCTGAAGTGAATGCCCAAAACCATGATCATATAGGAAAAGTGTGTGGACTTGAATCAAAATGCACTAAGACAGAACATTGAACTGTCCCCAAATACAAAAGAGGAAAGTAAAATAGGGAAAAAATGAGATGCCACTTATCTATGCAGGCAACATCAGATGCAGCTTTGACATTCTAATTGTGTTGAGGGTATAATTATAGTATTATGGCCAAAGAATTTTTGATAAATACTGGTAGTAATTTAATTCAAATGGGCTTTTTATCCAGCACAAAGTTTCATAAGCAGAAACCCTAAGTTTTTTTGCCATTAAAAAACAATATGTGAAGAATGATGTGAATTTTCAATAGCAATTTATCTACCATCATAATGTTAACACAGTTTTGGATAATGAGGATAATTTGAGTGGCAAGTTCTACAAAAACTGAAAGGAAGTTGAGAACTTGTGTGGAAAACCTGCCTTGGGTCCCTTAAAAGTTGTTTTCAGTATGAGTGCTTACTAAAATTGTTGACAGTTTTCTAAGAAATCATTTGTTAAAGCTAAAACTGCATGACTATTTGTCTGTCCATTAACTAGGGATGTGTACACCATTTTTCTTTTTTTATACTGTAACAATAGATGCTTCGATGTAATTGAGTAGTATATTCTATTGATTTTAAAATAACAAAGTCTCAAAAGTCGAACTAGCATTCCCCTTAAAATTATTTACATTTCTGTGCCTAAATCTTTATTATTATTATTACTATTACTTTTATTATTATTTTTTATTATTATTTAACTTGTCAAAATATATCAAAAGCAATCACTGTTAAACCTGAAGCTGAAAAAAATAATGACAATTAGTGCAGATTAACACAGGCTTAACTGGCTTGATTGCATTCCACATAGATTAAAGTGAAATCTCTAAAATCTGTTTGTTAATTCTCTAGAAGAGTATTTGTTGTTACATGTTTGTGCAGAAGGCTCTTGTTCTTTTGATATGGGGATTAGATGATTTAGCACCCTTTGATGGAGAATTGTACCTAGTTTTAAATTAGCATGAATATTCCTTTGTTCTTGGCATTATGAAATGCCCCACCTTTTTTAGGTGAAAATGGATAATGCTTTTGCTCAAAGCCACTCTGGTCTGCCAAATATAGTATTATCATAAAATTGTATTCGTATAGAAATACCTGGGGGCAGCCTTGATTTATCCTAAAAATGCTCTTTAAAAATGAAAAAAGTTGTGATAAAGTATCCTTGTCTGCCAAGAATGAAATAATTTTTGTTAATAGAAGCAGGTTACTGAAGATATCATTTACCTTTTCCTAAATGACATGATTTATGCCTAGATTTGAATGTCTGGCATATTTCCTTACCATGTCTATACTAAAGGTCAACTAATTTTCTCATAATTTTGTGCATTAAACATGTTTTGTGCAACCTTAAACTTAAACTCTCTGGATATTTTCCTATAAACATTTTGGGTAACTTTTTTAAAAAATGTGGATTATAAGGTAGATAATACAATTTAAGGTGCTTTTTAAGTAGATAATACTATTCACTGGAGTGTGTGTTTTACATATTATGCAACATGACCTCAGCTGGTACTCGTGCATGTACCGAGTCTGGCATTCACCTCACACAACCAGGTGTTGATCCCACAGAGTCAATAACTGTGGCGGTTTGAATTTCCAATACCTCAGCCCTTTGACAAGGGGAGATCAATATGCATTATTTGGATTGTTACATCAGCCTGTTTGCCGTAGACAGCGCACTTCAAGCAGATTTTACCGCCAGGTTTGCAGCACTGGGGCGATTGTGTCTTAACCCAGCCAAGCTTAATCAATTGGAACTTCAAAGACTTACTTTCAGCTTTGGTTTTGCCTGGAGAAAAGAGTTCTCATTGATTATTGATAGGTTTTTTTTGTACTGTATTTTTATAGATTTTTAATAAGAGATTTTATGATTGGTTGATAATGGCCATTGACAGTTTAGGAGTGTCCAGTAGTGGAAATTAATGGTGATTTTTTTTTTTAATTTATAAGTCTATGAAGTTCACTGATGTATGAGAATTAATTTTCTAGGAAGAGTGCAAGGGTTGAAAGTGATTCACGTGTACCGAAGCCTTTTGTGTGTACATCAGTCAGGATTACGCTTTCAAACTGTTAGCCCAGCAGATGTAAAGGTTTAGGATCAAGTATATTTATGCAATGAAATAATCTTCTTAAGGGGATTTGATATGTTATAAAGTCAGATATTTGAAGAAATAACTGTTTCTATTAAAAAAAGCATGATCTTTGATATGCAAGATTCCACAATAATTTCTCAAATTTACTTTTATAATTTCCTTTTTTCTCATTCCCTGCACTTTTAGATTCATTTCATTGTAACATTGTTATTGACTTGTTGCTCTCCTGCATTTGGGCTTAGATCTCCTTTTTACATTTATCATTATCATAACAACAACGCAGCACAAAGGCTATCACCTGCAATGGGAGGATCTGTTTTTTTCTTTGCATGCGAAGCTCTCTAAGTCTCCGCCAAACTGTACTAAACGTAGAACATTTCTTTGATTTATCTGTAAGAACAGATGGTTCTTTGATTTCTTCCTTGTTTTACATCCCTTTGAACTTGTGTGTGTGTGTGAAATGTCATATCACTATGGAGTCTGGATGCCTGGTGCAGGTGTGCTGTACAGCCCTGCCCAGTTCTAGGTTTTTTTTTCCCATCCCGAGATTCGTGTTTTGACTCAATTTTTGTCATCCAAAAGGGTACATATGAACTGATGAAGTTCAGTTTTTATAAGAGAGAAAACTAGGGTATATTATGTGCATTTTAACAAAAATGCTGCAGCTATTTTGCACACTTGTATATGAAGATATGTTGCATATGAACAGCTGGTGATAAACATTAGTTACTGCTATTTTGCATGTATTTTTATTAATTTGTCCACAATGCAGGGCATTGTTTTAACATGGTTTCTTTTCTTTTACTTTTGTGTATTCCTACAGTGTATTAGTTACTGGTTGCAAATGTGTATCCTGTATAGAAATACTGGCCAATTTTATTCTTGATCTTTGCTAAGGTTCATTTCTTTTGAACAATCCCAAAAGTGCCACCTTGCCCATGAGGGTACACTTATTTTATAAATGGTTGACTTTACATTCATATTATTTCAGATGGCGAAGATGAGGGTAGATGATTAAAGAGAAAATGGCAAGAGGGAAGCTGCTCAATACATCATAACAGAGCCCGGGAGAAATCCAATCAAAGAACTGTGTGCTGTTTAACATGCAATCTACACCCAAGGAACAATTTGTGCATGATGTCTTTCTTGATTAAGGGTTCTTTTGTAAATGGCTGTCACATTAAAAAACGCCTTTCTTATGTCTATCTGGAAGTTGACACATGTTAATGGTGTATCTTCTTTGAAATGTTCTGGTAGAGTCATGAAAAGTTTTTTCTGTATGTTTGAAAAGTTCTATTCTGCCTTTGTGCAGATGATTTTTATACAGATAAAACATCTTTTTGGACGTATTATGTGAAGCTCAGACTGAAACCTGTGAATAAAAAAAACATATTGTTGCTTGAAACATATTTCACTTGAGATGATACAGTAATGACATCAGACAAAAGTTTTCTAATTATGCATAAAAAGGAGCATTGTATTTTCCTTTTATTTTGGTGATAAATTTATAATTGGAAGGTATTTTTCAAACCTGTACATTTTGTATCAGCATGCAGAAGGTTAGCTTATTTGGGGTTTGTAGTAAACTATATTGATTGAATAACATGGCATCATAATCAACTCGACGTATAAATTAAAAGATAGAGCCCACCACCCTAACAATATACTTATTGAATGAGTCTGATCCAGATTTCAAGACACTGCCCCTATTGATCCTAGTGCTAACATACCTTTGGTCCAGTACAATCCATGAAAAAGTGTCCTAGTTATTAATTTATTCACAAGCATGCTATTTTTGATTTCTGCCACTGAGGTTTTAAAGGTTTTTGGTCTTGCAAAGTTTTATCTGATACGTGTATTGACTTTGATCTGGCATGATTGATTGGTAGATTTAAAGGCTAGTTATTGGGAGGTCTTTGAAGTCGTAGACTCCCTGTTACACCAGGGTTAATTAAGACCCTGACAATTAGTGAATTATATTTAATATTTGTTGATACCCTGCCCTCTGGGTGTTTTAACTTTTAATCGATTGAAAGTCAGTGTGACATCATCCTTGTAGAGTTCAAACAAAAAATAATCTTCAATTTTATATTTTGTTTGTTTATTGATTATATCAAATGGGGCAACAAAATGTAGCTGTTGGAGGTTTTTAAACTAAAATAAACAAAACCTCAAAGATATCTTTTTCATTTTTAACTATCCTTTGATCTTTTACATTTAATGTTTAATTTGGTGCTTTCACATTTAATGCCTAATTTGTAGATGGCTAAATACCAGATAAAGGATGTAGACTCAATTAATCAAATTTACTGGATAAAAGAACTTAAAAGTACAGCCGTGAAAAAATGATCATGATCTTTTGTAATCAATGAGTATTATAGGACTCTGCCTATGGCTGGTTTCACAATCATAATTCACCACCTCCTGCTGAGTCTTTAACTGTTTCTGTCTTTAACCATTCTTTTTAAGGCATCGTTAACTTTGATATAATGTTATTTAATGGACAAGTGAGCAATAGTTGGCTTGAATGATCTTAACCTAAAACTTGTCACAAAGTTTGCGTTCAATTAGAAAAAAATACACGATTTATTATGGGAAATGTACACAGAGAAATGCACTGTAAATCCTCACGCTTTAGGAATTGGGGACAATTATTAAAATGTCATGATTTCCTAAATTCATAGTAGTGGAAAATGTTGTGGTTTCATATGAACCAAGAAGAGATCTGTTAAGGGCTATGAATTATTCATATATGTGTGTTTGTCTGTGTGTGTTGATGTAATGTGTGTATATGAATAAGTTATTGTAATGTTGAACTTAGACAAAAGACATTGTTGAACCAAATGAGTAAGTAGACTGTATGTAATCCAGCTTAATGTTCCTCATTATTTAAAAACTGCTCTTATGTGCACTTGTATGTGTTGGATGCATACGTTTGAAAATTATTCTGTTTAATAAAAACATAATATACAGAAGAGCATTTGGGTCTATGTAACATATCTTATGAGTGTTGAAAACTATGCATAGCATTCATAACTTCATTGACTTAAACTGGAAATAGTCTAGAGACACCTGATTACTTACTATGGGATTTAAGACATGAGGGTTTGTTGGGAGGGGGGGGGGCATATATGAACTATGTCTGATTTCACTCACAGCAGTACTCACTTGCCTGCTAAAATATTATTTCAGTATTTTTGAAAATACCGAGTTGGGATTATTATGCTGTATAAAATTTGATGTCATGTGAACTGATTGATAATTTGATGAAATTAATTTGACAGAAATAGTCATTGACCGAGATTACGTGTGCTCCTCCTCTCTTCAGTGCTAGTGTGACCACCAGAGAGAGGGTCCATAACTCCTCACATCACCATCAAAAATTTCCTAATTGACTTGTAAGATTTAACTGCTGGTGAACAATATGATTATCTAACTTCAATTTTGTACAAATAATTTATTTCAAAGGTTGGTCAAGATTACATGTACTCCTCCCTATTTGACCACCAGAGTGACCATTAGGTGGCCACCAGGGAGTCACACGTGATTTAAACCATTCATTGGTCACTCCCTGGGGGCATTGGAGCAGATAATTGTATTAAGCCTTGGGTATATATTTCTTTCATTGACCAGTAGTGACCAAAAAGTCTGGCCACACAATCATCAATCCATCATGGTGGTCATTGGTCAGTTGTGTACGGAACACACTGATTTAATCATCCACTAACTTTCAGAAGTTTCACTTAATTATCTCATCAACTGGGTTTGATTTTAAAACAACAGTTCAAAGGGCTAGTTAATCAATATATTAGTTAGAGCCATGCTTGTGGCATATCAATATTATTATCGAGATTTCATTTGAAAAGTAAGAATGTTTGCTGAAAATAATCTGCTTGAAATTTAAGCTTATTTTCTTCTAAACAAATTTTCAGTGGGGAAAAAATAAGAAACAAAAATAAGATGCTCACCACAAAGAAGGAAATGTTTCCAATGAATAGTAGTAATGAGTGCCTAAGTGGTGTGTGTCTGTTAATTAGGCCTTACTTCATTGTGTGCCCTGTTAATTAAAAGTAAACACAGACTTTCCTTTCACTTAATCAGTAACAAGACACCCCTGTGGCATGTTGGTTTGAAATTAAATTAATTTATTAAGTTTGGGTTGATAATTAGTACTAAGGATCGGGCTTTTTGATGCAACAATCCCAGAGTCTATCAGACGCCAAGGGTTGGACTTTCTGGACAGGCTAATATTTAAGGTCACAGAATTTTAAATAATAATAACTCTAGCAAAGATTATAGATTCAATGTAAAACTTGATACTCTTTGTTGTAACATTTTAACCCATTGTAAATTGGGGTTTAGGACAAAAATAAAAATAAATAAATAAATGTAATTGTTATTAGTAAAGCAATACTGAAATTTATCATTATAAAACAATTTCTATGTGTGGCATTTAACAAATAATGTAATGCTTGCATCCTCATTCCTTTCTTTTTTCTTTTTTTTTTTAGTAATCATTTTTCACAATATTAGAAAATTTTTCACAATATTAGAAAATTTCACATTAACTTTCCAAAAGTACTTTGATACAGATAAAATTACTCAAATGCCCTCTGTACATGAATAGTATAAAAGTGCTTGCAGAATGTAGGTCAATATGTTTAGCTTAACTTTCATGTTGTATTACAATCTCATCCCACTCACATGTGGGGAATATAATTGTTATTTTGTGAATGGGATAAATGCAAGCATAGATTCCTATTCCAATCATGACTTTTGTCAGTTACTATTCATCTTCCTTATCAGTCTTCATTCATCTCGTTGGAGAAACATGGATGAAATTTAAATGCGGTGTGAATTCAGCATTTCATGGAAAGCAACAGTGGTATTAAAGATTTTGAAAACAAACTACCTGAAGATAAGAAGAAGAAAATTTCACTACTTTCTCCATGAAGAAAGAACACAATATATTAGGGAAATTTTCATAATCAAGCCTGGATTTCTATAATGCGATATTTATCAAAATTTAAGCATTGAAATAGTTAGACTGAAAAAAGGCTTTACAGGATTTTTTAAACATGTTTTTAACCTCATAATAATCTTTTTAAATATGTTTTATTTAATCCCATAAGCAGGCACCCCAAGAAATTAATACTTAGACTTCCACTAGCCCACCAAAGCTCCAAATAATATTTTCTACTTATAGTAAGGAGTAGGGTTGATCACTGGGTTTATTCACTGGTCAGTTTGGGTGTGGTGTTTGAAGGATACCATCAACAATGTATCACAGTAACATCCGTGTGAGTGGGAGCAGTAAATAAAGATCCCTATCTTCCATTTTGTATTCCCCTTGTGTGTTGATGATGCTTTCGCCTGGTGGATCTGTGGGCGATTTCATGTTGGAAATTTATTACATATATCATTTCTATATATCTTTTCATTATTGTTTACATTATTTATTTATTTATTTCATGTCTAATATTAAAATGCCACGAGTGATTTTTACCGCATTTACTGCAATTAAATGAAAACACTCAAATGATTTTAATTAAAATAAACCACAATGTAAAAGTGCTGGATTAATATTTTTTCACTTCATTTTTTCATAATTCTTTAAAACATATATTTTCTTAACGTGATTAATAGTAAATATTATAAAATGTCAAAAAGTATCGAATTGAATATAAATTAAAAATAAAACCACCTTTCGTATGTAGTTGGGAAGTCACCAGTCATCAGAGGGCGCCAGTCACTCGTTGATAAATTATGCATTGGGAGGCGGGGAAACCCTCTTTGCCACGTGACCTCGGGGTCATGCTTTGAAGGTTGCCGCCATCTAAACGAGTTGCTTTGTGAGCGTAGTACAGCACAGTCGGAATCGATCAGTCTCCACTAACGTCTACGGAATATGTCCCGAATACGCAGATACTATGTAGCAAGATGATCAGGGAAGTTTTACTGCTTATGCAGGTGGTCATGGTCTTTGCCAGCAAAGAAAAAGCGCTTTTGGAAGTAGTACTTTACGAAACGGCAACAAATGGCGTTGAATATCGGACATATACTTACTCCCTGATCGCCCATTTTTCTCGGGCCGGTGCGCTGGTGAGCGCAGAGGGACACATAATACAGGTACGTACTCATGTCTTCACACCGTGGTTTTTATTCTGTGTAATGAAAACGAACACTGAGATGCGGGATCGTGAAATGTACAACGAAACTTACATGTACCCCCTTGAGCTCCGCTACTCATTTGGAGACCGCGTATGTAATCAACACGCTAGCATATAATGACAGAGTAGCTGTGTGATAGTGTGTGTACGCAGAAATATCGCAATGTGTGATATACCCGTCTGTGGGACTGAGGGGTGTTATTCAGTGGGGGATTGACTTAAAATTGAGCCGTATGAACGGAACTGACAGAAGTGTGATCATTTTCTCCCTGGTGAAAGTGTCTCACCCCATTTATTCTTATGAAGCTCATTAGGCGGAGTAGTTTGTAAAGTTAAATGCCTAGAGCATTTGTACAAACCAGTCACCTATGAGGTGGGGAGCCCCTTTGCACAATGGAAATTTGAGTGTGTGTTTTCTCTGCTTTCACAAAAGTCGACCTAACGCTTACCGATAAAGCATAATTCATTGCCCACAAAGCTGCCCTGTCATGCTTGTATTTTCCTTCCCTTGCTTATACTGGTATTGTGTAGTCCCAAATGGGTTGGATAAATGCTTGCTTTTGAGCAGTAATGGACCATATAGTGAGGGGTCTAAAAAGCCCAAGTTGTGCCACATTGAGTTCCCATTGCCCAATAAATGAAGGCTGTTCAAGTGAAAGAAGCAATACCATTTCACATGCCTCTTTTTTTTACTTTCTGCCTGTTGATTCTACCAACTTGGAGATTTTGGAATTAAGCTTCCTCAACCGGTTCCATTAACACCTCGGTGGAAAAAATTTGTTTTACTAATTTTAATATTTTTGACATTTTGGTAAAATTGTCAGCAGTTAATATTAGAAAAAGATTTGAAAGAAATAGATAACTGCCCTAAATTTTCTGAAATGTCAAAAGGCCATTTTCCACTGTGATGTAAATTCATATTTAACCTGAAGGTAGAAAAATACCTTCTTGAAGTAAATGTTTTTTCGTGATGTTTCGTCAAAACTTGCCTATAGCTATACAACAATACCAGTAAACATTAATACATGATAGATGACTCCTTTTTCTGGTAAGTTTTGACAAATGTCCCCTCAAGCTTCCCTTTTATCAGTATGATCCATATTGCATGCAGCGTGATCAAAGGTAAAGGTGCATGACTTCATAAGTACCTGTGGCGAATATCAGTCAAGGAATCTCCCATCCCCTTTGAGTAGCCTTTGAGTCTCTTGTTTATTACTACTTTTGATTTTCATCACAGAATTATCTGGTGAATTATTATCTGTGATGAGAAGTCCTTTTTTACTAAGGGCAGATGCTAGAGTAAACAGGCTAATGTGAGATATATTTGTATATGTTTAAGTCAGTTGTGGCATATGCCTGCTTTTGTATCATAGTACCAAGGTAATAGAGACTTGCTTGGATGGGCTAGGTCAATTTTTAAGATCTACAAAGCGAGAAATGACCCTCGCCACCTTCAGTGTTATTAAAGGAGTTGATAGCTAGGACAATGGCGTTGAAATGGATCATTGTAATAAGAGAAGGCATTGAAACTTTCTCCAAAAGAGGCTAACAATAAAAAGTTGAAATGATCTGAACCGCTAAACTGAATGTAAATGGGAAGGTGATTTGAGAGCCTTTACACAACACATGGGGGAGGGTTTTGTCATCTCTTTGAAGGAATGACAAGGGCAATCCAATGAGATAGTAAGGTGAATTACCTGAGAAATGGCACAAAAACTCGAAAATTATTTTCCCACTTGTATTATAATATTTTTTCTGCAAGTAAATAAAATAAATGTAGTTTTATTCAGGCAACATTCTTCTTTTACTGAACTTCAATTTTGGTTTCCTATAAAGACCTACAATCCAACATGATGTTGGATCCTAGTAAAGACCAATTAAGTTTCCTTAGTTGCTATCATAGAATACATGATGCACTTTTGTATCTTTACAAACCAACCACCCATGCCCCTTTGGGTCACTCATTTATTAGCACTTATCATTGCTTGTCTGTACACACATAATCCTATATAACTTATGACATAAATGGTCCCTAAGTACCATTCCTTTCTCTTTGCAAATTAAACCATATAGCACCCATACCCGTGGATGTGAAGTCAAACTGTTCAGTCTTTGCTTGCTGTCTCTTTGCAAAATCAAACTTTTAAAAAGGCCTCTATTTAGCCTGTTATGTTTTGCAATAGTTAAATTCATTGTCCTTAAAATAAATCCACAGACAGGTGTGAATTTTATCTTTCAAATATCAAAAAAGTTTTTTCTTTTATCAAAATAGAAAGATGGGATAGGTGTTAGAGGCATTTGCTGAAGAATCTAAACTAAAAGGATGACCCCACAAGGTCCAATCATAAAGCCTGTAGAAAGAGGATCTAGATCAAAATATTAGTAAATACTATTTTGACACAGGCACAGTGCTTAGACTGGACTTAAATATGTACACAGAAAAAGATTGGCCTTGTTGTGGGAGAGGCTGAATCTTAATAAGTCACAACTATGCAAGAGGCAAAGGTAAAAAGGGAATATTTATCATAACATGCACTGCTGGGAATGATAAATGACTTGGGACATGAAAGAAAATGACTGTGCAACCTTCTGTTGTCTATGCCTATCCTCTTTCTGCGTTCTCCCTCTTCCATCCGTCTGCTAAAAAACTTAAGTTGTTTGTATTATGAAATAATGATGCTAAGGTTAACACAACGATTCCATTCAAAACAGGAAGACATCAAAAATGTCAATATGTTTATCCAGGTATGGTTCCAAGAAAAGGCAAGGAGGGTTATTAATTGATGACTACCTTAAGGCTCATGTCACCCAGTCTGTGTAGGTTCTTCACACAGACAGGAGTTGCATTTTTCCATGAGAGTGCTGATGGAAAAATGGGAGTCTTTGGTATTTGAAGTTTGACTTGGCAATATTTTCTGCAATTAGTTTGTCCTCTTTGTGGCCTGTGTTGTATTCAGTACGGTGCTTCTGTCTGCTTTGTTCTGACAGGGCTGATCTATCAGAGCAGAGACATGATGTATAGTGTAGCTCTGCCAGAATGTGTGGTTTGCATATAACCTACTGCATTCCTGGCCAAAGACAGGGAATTAGAAAAAAAAAAGAAACACAGCAAGCATGGTTGTATCCTTTCCCATTCAGAAATTAAGTCCATCCCCTCTGCCAAAAATGTTGATTGATGCAACATACTACAAGTTCTTGAGAATAAAAAAATGTTTTGGGCAAACTGCATCCTTTTTAACTAGAGGTTAAAACCTCCCCCTTTCAGAAAAAGAGACATTTTGTTGAGTCAACTGCATTTCAGGGGTTACACAAGCAAAGAAACAAATATATGGTATATATTAGTGCAATAATTAAGAAGAAATAGTAGTTCACATTTGAAAGCTTAGTAAGAGGGAGTCAAAAAGGATACAAAACAAAAAAAAAAAAAAAGAAAGAAAACAAAACCAAGATACATGTAGCTAAACTGTATCCTTTTTTACTCAAGAATAAAGCCCACCCAGTGTGAAGGGTTTTCTGGTTTTCTTAGTCTGAATTATCATCAGTTATTACATTGATAAGGTGCGTTCTGAGCACTGTAACCTGAGTCTCCCGTTGTGAATGCCCCCGTCTTAAATTTAACTATTTCAAGATCCATTTTTATTTCATTGATACCATGAAGTAGGTCCTTCCGCACTGGGGCTCTTAAAGCTGTTCACTACAAGGCAATTAATACATATAATTGCAAAGTTAGATTGGTGGCATTGCCTATTGATCTAATCTTGCTCCCCCTAGAAGCAAAGTTTATTGCAAAATGGATTTTTTATTTTGCTTGATTGAGGCTGGTTGTTTGTAGTAGGGAGATAAGCGGCATAGGTCTAGCATTAATCTCAGTACAAGAGAGAAAGGGCCAGTTGAAGGCTGGTGTAGTATCAAAACTTTAGCAAAGCAAGGAGAGATTTCTCTCCATTGCTTTAGGCATAGATCATGTAATGGAAACATCATTTATAAATATATTTTGACTAAAATTAATTTCCTTCAAAGATTCAATTTTATCCAAAACTAGAGCAGATATCAGGGTCTATCCTAGATCTGAGGTTTTTCAGAATGTTAATGACAAATTTTATCACTTCATCCAACAAGCCACAAACTTTGTTATCAGACCCATGGCGAGAGCAAATTATAGATTGCCAGGCTTTAATTTTCAACAGGTAAGCTATAGGCCCCCAGTACCAGCTTGTCATAATATGGCCTCCTGTCCATGGTCCTGTAATGGGCGAAAGGGTTTGCACTTTCAAACATTTCCCCATTTGGGAGAGTGCTCATTATGTATTCTTTATTTGTTTGTTTTAGATCTGGACTACTAATCTGTATATAAGGGCAATATTGTTTCAGAGCCATAGTAAACAATTTGTATGCAGACATTAGGCAAGAGCAAGCAAAAAGCCCTTTAATGAGAGACTGGGTAGGTAAGAGGGGGATATAGGCAACAGTCGGCTTTTAACAGTTTCCCAACATATTGTTCCATCTTGGTGACAAGTTACCTGACCTGCCATATTGCATTTTGTTTTTGGTCTTTGAAAAAAATAGATCTTCTGGGTTTTCTTTCTCCTAAGTCAAAACAAGATCAATTTTTAGAGGAAGAATCAATGTGTGCTTAATTCTGAAATAAAGGTGTGTCTCCAGCTCTCTAATCAGCAACAGAAAGTGCTATCTCAATTGGACAGCATGGTAAATTGATCAACTCCGGAATTGATCTGGTCGTATCGATCACTTCAAAATATCTACGTTGTTAGATACTTCTTGACCCTGCCAGTTGTTTTTCTTGGCAGCAGTAGCAAAGTTTTACATGCTGTTAAATAATAATAATAATGATGTCTCTGTGTATATACACACATTTCATAATGTTATAAAGTACATGTTGTAAAAATACAGGCTGCTTCTGCGTTAAGAGCATCTCTGTGTGTGGCCATTTGTATTATA